ACTCCCCCAGGCACATGTGCAACGATACGTTCAATGTCACCTGTCCGAGGTCGATCAGTGGCAGCATCTCAGGGGTGATGGCCATGGCATCCAGTCCAATGAGGTTCTTGGGCACAGCCTTCTCCACTTCTTTGTGCTGGCTGAGGGACTGAGCCAGAACAGCAAGAGTAGGGGTGGCAAAGAGAGCCTTGACCGAAAGCGAAAGACCAATCAGTCGAAGGCGTTCGATCATTTGCACAGCCAAAAGCGAGTGGCCACCGAGCATGAAGAAGTTGTCGTTGCGGCTGACACGATCGAGGTGGAGCAACTCGCCCAGATGTCAGCCAATGCTGTCTCGATCTCACCTTGGGGTTCCTCGTAGCCTTGGGTGTCGAATGCATCTCTGTCAGGCTCAGGAAGTGCACGCTTGTCGACCTTGCCGTTGCCAGTCAGAGGCAGCGCATCCAAGCGGACGAATGCACTGGGGACCATGTACTCGGGGAGACAGCCTGCGAGGAAGGTGCGCAGAGTGTGGGTCAGCTGTTCCTGTGGGTCAGCGACGACGTAGGCAACAAGACGTTTTCATTGCCTGCTCCCAGTACGGTGACTGATCCTTCGCGGACCAAGGGGTGTTCAACCAGCCGTGACTCGATCTCTCCTAGTTCGACACGAAAGCCACGGATCTTGACCTGGTCATCGCTGCGTCCCATGAACAGTAGGTTGCCGTCAGAGAGTGAGCGCACGAGATCCCCGGTCTTGTACATGCGTCCGCCAGGATGGCTGCTGAAGGGGTCAGGCAAAACCGCTCGACAGTGAGGTCTGGGCGGTTGAGGTAGCCAATGGCCACACCGGGACCGCCGACGAACAGTTCGCCGACAGCTCCGATAGGAACAGGCTGACGGTGCATATCCAAGACATAGACGGTGGTGTTGCCGATAGGACGACCGATTGGCAACGGTCCTGGCCCTTCTCGATCATCTTGAGCTCGTATGTAGTAGCGATTGTAGTCACCTCAGTAGGTCCATAACAATGAATGAGATGTGATGATCCTCCATGCTCAAGTAGCGCTGTGAACGAACTCAGGCTCCCCTCCTCACCACCGCAGAAGACATACTTGAGTTGTGCCAGTTTATCGCTTATGCTCAAGACGTGCTGGTTAAACAGTGCAGCCGTCAGGAAGAGCCCAGTGACATTGTGGCGAGTCAGCGCCTCCGACAAGCGGTGGGCGTCCATGATTGTATCGGAATCGACAATGATAGAACGACCACCATTGAGGAGGGCAGCCCACAGCTCAAGCGTGCTGGCATCGAAAGCAGGGTTGGCGCCAAAGACGATGCGGTCATCCGCACATATGTCGGCATAGCCGTTATTGATGACCAGCCGAGAGATACCGCGATGGGGAATGAGCACACCCTTGGGACACCCGTAGAGCCAGAGGTGTAAAAGACGCAGGCGGCATCCCCACCGGAGCGCGCAACATCGACATGGGGCCCATTCAGCGCAATGTTGAGGCTCTCTGTCTGGCTTGCACTGAAACGAAGCACATGCGTATCAATGGTAACGGGGACCACTATGTGTAGGTCAGTTATTACCAAGCGGGCTGCACAGTCCATAACAATCCAGGTCTGGCGCTCGAGCGGTGCCTTAATATCAATAGGCACATATGCAGCTCCAGCCTTGAGGATGGCCAGCTGTGCGATGACAAGCTCCATCGAACGAGCAAGGTACGTTCCCACACAGTCGCCAGCGCAGACACCGGCCTCGACAAGCTGGTGAGCAAGCGCATTCGAACGCACACTCAGTTCCCTGTACGTCAGCGACTGGTCCTCATGCACAAGGGCGATGGCCTCTGGCGTCTGCTTCACACGGTCCTCGAAGATTCGGTCCACGCAGAGGTCTTCAGGGAACGAGGTACTGGTGGCATTCCACGACTCCAGAAGGCCGTGCTCAACTGCAGGTAGGATGTTGAGGCCCTGGACAAGCACCGAAGGCGTGTATTCAATAGCGTAAGTGAGGCTCTCTAATGCCTCCTGCATATACGCGCATAAACGGTCGGCGTCGTATGGCTGCACAGCCTGGGCCGTCAGTCCAAGAGTGGTACCGCCGTCCTCGACAGACAGCGAGAAGGGGTAGTTGGTGCGCTCCTTCTCACCCAAGAACCTGATGCCGGGAATGCCAGAGCGCTGTTGGACTGCGAGGTGTTGTGGCGGTAGTTCAGGATCGAGCTGAAGAGCGGCATACCAGCCATCACATTGCTGCACTTCTGAGCCAGAACCAGCGATGCTTGCTCGTGTTCCAGCAGTGCTGCCAAGTCGCTCTGGGTCTTGCGCACGCTCTCCAGGACGCTGGTATCCTCCACATCAACTCGGAATGGCAGAGTGTTGATGTACAGACCCATCGCGCGGTCTGCTCCTGACCCACCAGCCATGCGTCCCAAGAGAACCGTGCCAAAGACGACACGCTTCTGTCCACTGGTACGAGCGATTACCTGTGCCCAGGCGAGGTGGCACAGACTGGCAAGACTTACTCCCAGCTGCCTGGCTATACCACGCATACGGTCATTGCACTCCTGCGAGAGCAACCTGGTGGACTCGAAGATGTCTTCACCGTTGCTGTGGACCTCAGTAATGCCGTATGGGAGCGACGGTGTGTCAAAGTCGCCCAGCATCTGTGAGAAGAACTGCTCCTGAGCCTCGATGCTGACACCGAGGCGCGCTTGAGCAATGAGGTTGCGGAATGGCTTGGGTTCAGACAGAGTATTGCCATGGCCTTCGAGCAGAGCCTGGATCTCAAGGTTCATTTCGTCTTCAGTAGAGTGGTCGCCGACCATGTGGTGCTTCAGCTGCACCAAGAGCCATGTGCCATCGGCGTCCTGGGCAGCGGCAAAGTGGTAGAGCGAAGCCTGAGTCAGGTCGATGCGGTGGTGGACAGGGTCGAAGCGCTGGATCATTTGGTCAATGACCGGACCCTTGGCTGCATCGAGCGAGAGCTCCTGAAGTTTGACTTGGGCCTTGCGCCAGACGACCTGAGCAGCAGTCGACATGCTCTCCCAGACAAAAGCTGTGCGGAAGATGTCGTGGCGATCGACAACCTTCTGGAATGCATCCATGTAGGCATCGAGACGTTTGCGGTCGGCAAAGGCCAGGCTACTGATATGCAGGTACGGGTCGCCCTTGGCAGTGAGCAAGTGATGGAACAAGATACCATCCTGCAGAGGCGACAAGGCATAGATGTCCTGGATGTTCGACACTCCTCCGGGGACCTGTGCAACGATGCGGTCAATGTCGGCTTGTGTGAGGTCGATCAGAGGCAGCATCTCAGGAGTGATGACCGTGGTCTCTGGAGTGATCAGGTTCGGAGGTGCCTCATCCTGAGTCTGGTGTTGGCCAAGAGACTGGGCCAGGACACTCAATGTCGGGGTGGCAAACAGAGCACGGACAGAGAGTGAGAGCCCAATGCGACGCAGACGCTCGATCATCTGCACTGCGAGCAGAGAGTGGCCACCAAGCATGAAGAAGTTGTCGTGGCGACCTATACGATCGAGACTGAGCAGCTCAGCCCAAACCGCAGCAGAGCCTCCTCGTCTTTCCCACAGGTGCCTCGTACTCCTGAGTGGCAAATGCATCGCTGTCAGGCTCAGGCAAAGCACGGCGGTCGAGCTTACCGTTGGCGTCAACGGAAGTGCGTCCAGACGAACATAGGCAGCAGGGACCATGTACTCGGGCAACTTGGAGGCGACATGGGTGCGGAGAGCGAAGGCAAGACCCTCTTTGGGTACAGTAACAACATATGCAACCAGACGCTTGTTGCTGCCCTCGCCCAGAGCAAGCACGACTGCATCACTCACAAGCTCATGTTCCACCAGCCGAGCCTCGATTTCACCCAACTCGATGCGGTAACCGCGGATCTTGACCTGGTGGTCGTCACGACCCATGTAGACCAGCTGGCCATTGGGAAGGTAGCGAGCCAAGTCCCCAGTCCTGTACATGCGGGCCTGCTTGTCATTGGCAAACGGATCAGGGAGGAAAGCCTTGGCTGTCAGATCTGGGCGGTTGAGGTAACCACGAGCTACACCGACTCCACCGATATAGAGCTCTCCCACAACACCCATAGGCACTGGAATCCCACGGGTGTCCAACAGATAGATGGTCTTGTTGTCAATGGGCCGACCGATAGGGACAATATCGCGACTAAAGTCCTCGGGACATTGGAACGCCGTGGCTGCGACTGTGGTCTCCGTAGGGCCGTACTCGTTCACAACCGAGCCATTCGGGATGAGTGTCTTGAGCTTGCGCAACAGAGCCAGAGGGAGTGCTTCACCTCCCAAGACAAGCCTCAGGGGGTGTTCAGAGGCGGCAGGCCTTTACAGTCCTGAAGGATCGATGGGGTCAAAAGAGCCTGCGTGATGGAGTGTTTGTCAAGATATGCCCAGAGCTGATCACGGTCAAGGCGGACACGATCAGGCAGGATATGCAGGCTGGCACCGAAGCACAAAGCTGACATCATCTCGCCGACACTAGCATCAAAGCTGAAGGAGAGGAACTGGAGCATTCTGCTCGAGGGTCCACCCCATAGACGTGGGCCGCGTCATGGCCAGGTTCACAAGGCCCTGATGCTCGACCATCACACCCTTGGGTTGCCAGTCGAGCCAGAGGTTAGATGACATAGGCAAGATGGTGCGAACACAGCTTGGGCACCTGTGGGTTGACTGCAGGTCGTCGGGTTTGAGGCTCAGTCGACCACAGTCAGCGATCGAAGTGCTTCCTCGCCGATGGCACTGCGGCCGGTCTTGTCAGCAAAAGAACCGCCGGTGAGGCGTCGTCGAGGATGGTCAGGAGACGTTCACTGGCATGCGAAGGATCCAGTGGCACATATGCACCGCCAGCTTAAGGACACCAAGGATCCCAACAACCATCGCAGGTGAACGCTCGACGCAGAGGCCCACAAGGCTGTCAGGCGCGACCCGAGGTCGATGAGCTGATGCGCAAGCCGGTTGGACTGAGCATTGAGTTCCCCATAGGTCATGGCTGGTCCTCAAAGACAACAGCGATAGCGTCGGGAGTGTGGGCGGCCTGGCTCTCAAACAGGTGGTGGACACACTGCTGATCGGGGTATATGGCGGTCGAGCTGTTCCACGTGTCGAGCAGGAGTGTCCGCTCGGCCTGCGAGAGAATGTCGATTGCAGCAACAGGCTCGGTGGGCCTGGCTGTCATTGCCTGGAGGATGGTGACCAGGTAGCCGGCATGTCTTTCAACTGTCTCGGCGTCGTAAAGCAACGCAGAGTAGTGCAGCTCTCCAGCAATCTCGTCGCCCTCTTCCTGCAAACGGAGTCCGAGTTCGGGTTGAGGAGAGTGAGTCTCGGCTGGGGCCTGCCAGAGATCTCCATCATGCCAGCGGAATAACAGCTGGAACGACTGTGCATGGCCGTAGGCACGCTGTGGCTGCATGATGTCGATGATCGTCTGGAGGGGGATATCCTGGTGTGCACGTGCATCAAGGGGAGCCTTGCGAACGCGTTCGAGCATGTCGACAGTGCTCACGTCTCCAGAGACCTGGATGAGCAGCGGCAGGGCGCTGTCAGTGTTGTCGCCAGGGATGGCAATGAGGATGTCGTCTTGGTTGGTGAGGCGCGACATCACCAGGGCCCATGCAGCCAACAGGGTTGTCGGTAGGTTCACGATACTGTTGTCGCTCAGGTTCTTGAGAGCGCGCTTCAGTGTTTTGTCGATTCGGAAGCGGTGGTGAGCGTCAGCAACCGGCTGCTTGCCAAAGCGCGGACGATCTGTGGGCAGCTCCAGCAGCACGGGTGCACCGGCTAGCGTCTTGTGCCAGTAGTCAGTCGGGTCGTGAGAGCCTTGACCACATCGTCCTGACCCTTGTCGGAGTAGAGGGTACTCTCTGAAGGCGCCTCAGAGGCGGCAATGGACGAGGGAGTGGCAGCGCCGCTATGATAGGTAAATATATGGCGGCGTTAGGATCCTGGTCCATGCAGTTACCACACAGGTACTAACTATTTACCACATAGCATGATGCATAGGATTTAGCATACCCTTGATCAGCAATTGGCATGTCAAAGTAGCCCTAGGGAATTTTAAGAGTACAGAAGATGGTTAGGTGGGGACAGATGGGTCCATGTCGAAGTGCTGAGATTCAGATTAAAGTCCAGGGATTGAGGGTTTAGTGTCCTGCAATGCAGGATCGGTTACTGCCAGGATGCGCCCGTGCGTTGTATAGACAGTTACTGTTTATGGTTACCTGATCACCACTGCTGGCAACAGTGGGGACGACTGACGCAGTGTTAGCGTGGGCTTCCTAATATATGCATGTTTCAGGGTCTGATGTGGTTAGTGAATGTGCACCCTCTGGACACGTTTTTATTTTTTTGAGCAATGGATGCTCTACTTACAGGTGGGGTCAAAGCTGCCTCAGAGACATAAGCCCTCTCTCCATTGTTGGCACTGAAGGCGCTGCTTGTAGTGCCTGCGACACTGGCCTTGTTCCTAAAACCCTCAAAAATAACCGGCATGTTAGTGTATAGTTTACGAGGGGCGATTGCCGCAGGTGTTGGAATGTGCCAGTGTCTGCCGTTGCGTGTGGATTTGCGTGTTTGTGTCCGGGTTAGGTTTTGTGCCACTGTGTATTTGGAACATACTTTTCGCTGGTCAGACAAGCGCTGTCGAGCATCTAGGTTTGAGATATTTGTAGATTTAGATAATTTAGATAGCGGCACAAAGTCAGCAGCCGAATGCGTGGCCCGAGTGTTTCACGCACACTTGGATAGCAATTGCCTGTCGCCAGAGCCACTGAAACTGGGCTCGAAGCGGGGCAAGAGAGGGCTATTCTACTGGCATCAGCATCGACTTTTCGCCGAGAAACGAAGCTTACCTGGTCGTTATCAGAATTCATGTTGATTATAACAGTGTCGTTGATATGTCTTTGCAGATAGAGTGGTAGAATAACTGCGGGATAAAAGAAAGCACGCGTTTGTGAATATGTGAACGAGTGCCCGTATAGAAGTATAGTAGGCGAGGTGTGAAGGGTTTGATGGTCAATCTTAGGAGGGGAGAAGAGAAGGAAGCGTCGTTTTGATTTCAATCTTAGAACCAGGGGTCTGAGAGCATGCAGACCCGGGAAAGGCGTTAAGGAGCATGCAGACTCGGGAGCATGCAGATTCGGGAGAAGATTTAAGAAGCAGAACTATCCAGCAGCACACAGAGTATGCTAAAAAAAGGGTTTGCCTGTAAAATCCGAACCTTGCCTCTTTTCTTGGTTCGGATATCGGCAACAGCTTGGTTGTTCGAATATTGGCTTTTACCGGTTCATTGAGGCAGAGTTCTACAACTATTTCTACACCACCAACTACCAAACTATCAGCCACTCCTTTCAACTAATCAGCACGGAAGATCATCAGGATCGGGCGATCCAGATGGATAGCCACCTTCCCTCGTCCAGCAACTCCTCCAATCTAACCGATGAAACCCAAAACTCCTACAGAATGAAAACCCTCATCTTATGGAGGCCTGGACTGCACTGCACTGGTTGTATTTTGTCGGATGCACACAACCCTGTTTAATTGAATTGGGAAGTTATTATAAAATACATGGCGGCGGGACTTTATGACAAGAAGTCTAGCACAAGACATTATCTATCGAATTCTTAGGCTACATGAGCTACCATTGAATCCTTAGGCGACATGAGCCAGCATCGAATCCAGGCTGTCTCTAATGCTAATCGATCACTGATTTCTGCAGCAGCAATACCACAACAGAACATCGGACGATAACGAGAAGGCCCAAAGGGACTGCATACTTCCGATGGGCTGACGCCAAGGACATGACATAGCTTGACCGATGCAGTAGTCGGTCATGCACCACTGCGATCAAATCCTGGTTCTAAAAGGCCCTGAGGAGCAGTTCGTAGCCCAATATGACGAATGCTACAAGTATTCGAGCCTCGACATTCGGCTCCCACACGGCACCAATACATAGATGGAAGGTAATGGATGTGTGCTATTGCTTCCTCGACTTGGTCGTTCTTTATTGCGGTTTATTATTTGCTTGCTAATCGGTAAATTTTGATGTCTTATGTCGCTGAACAGGGATTTTGAGAAAGAGGTCGCGATCAGTACATTGGGTCAGGATGGTCGTGTGCTACAGCTTGGACTTGGCTGGAAATCTCGTCGCGCTTTTCGAAGTGGATATGGTTGTCCAAACTACAGCCAAGCACACCAAAGCTAGACTGGAGTTCCGGAATTTGCTCGGTGTCAGGCAGGAGGGATCCAAACTCAGGGGAAAGTTTGTCTAATTCACTGAGTAGAGCGCGATAGGACTATCCCATGGTTCACGGAGTCTTGCGCTGAGACTATGCATACGCTGGTTTCTGACATGCTGCTGCTACCTTTTTTTATCCACATAGAACTGAAGGATGTCCTTGACAGAGAGTGAGCAAGATGAGAATAGACGTTCCAGTTGAGGTGGAGGCAATGTATATAATCCAGAAATCGAAAGTACGATCCGAAAGGCAATGGTCAGGATCCGTTCTTTATAGTTGCAACTGATGGATTTGGAACATCCTGCACCTAATAAAGCCCCCTTTTTTTTTATTGACGCCAGATCCCTCCAGACGCGCAGGCGTACCAAAGGCTGCATTGTCCAAGCCGTAGCTTGGACTGGCGGCCGGCCAAAAGCTACCTAAAGATGGCTAACAAACAACCCTGCATTAAATTAATGTGAAGCGGAGGTACACATTCAAAGTCGCATGTTTTCTAATCTTTGAGCTGGAACCCAAAATCGCTACGCAACCTGTCGGGTCCAATGGGTCCTCTTCTAGTCAAGATCACGAACCAACATGAGTTTTATCCTCCTTCTTTCCATCTCGTTCAACACCACCTTTCCCTGGAAATGTTCTACTAGACGGTCATTCGCTCTCTTCCTCGCCGCCGTAGCCAACCCCTCCTAGGGCCGTTGTCGCACAAAATCCTGAGCCGCTCCTCCAAAACGCCTCCCGGCTTTCTTCTTTCTCGCGCATATGCCTTCAGACTTCGCCCATGCCACCATTGCCTTACACCGCTCTTTCCATAGCTCCTCCTGTCTAAAGGCTTCAATTTGTTCCACAGAACGTCCAGCCAGGTAAGCTGCGATGTTCCTCGACTGTTTAAGGAGCAGCGCCCAATCCGTCGTCAGGAACTTTGGAACAAGCCCGTGGTAGATATCCATCGTGGTCCAGAACCCCTTGGGCGTGTTCTTCCTTTCAACGTTTTTCTGTCCCTCTGCTCTTCACTCTCCCTCGTAGACAGTCACCCTATTTTCTGCTTCATTCTCCCCAGTTCGCCGCTCTTCCAACAGCCTTATCCAGTCGTTATGCAATGTGTCTGCTATTCTTTCCACCCCCCGAACCTCATGTAGGCTTCACCAGAGCGTATCCATGCCGCATAGAGAGAAAGTCGGCTCCGTGCGTGTAAATTGTCGACCGTTCCTACTCGCCTCTTCCATATCGTTCAACCGCCTTTTCCATGCCCTGTCCAGTACGGAGCACCTCTTTGAGGGACTGTGTCCATTTCTCTTGACGCTGGTTATGTGTAACGCGACATATCCGCAGATGCCGTGCGTCCTCCAAAGCGGTAATGCACACTTGATATCGATCTGTGGTATAGAGATTCGGCTTCCAATTGTGCATATATTGCATGGTCGGGAGCATATCATGTATCTATCTTCTTGGTCCGGTGGGAACGATGACTGCAGTCTGACTGGTGAAATGCCCTCCTGGCGGGTTTCGTTCATGGACTATAGCGAGGCTCGATCGCCACTCTACCTCATCCCACTGCTGAATAAAGCGTTGCGTCCGTTGCTAGCACGTCCATGCATGATGGCTCCTCGCCGCTAAATAAAGTTTGATCAGGTGTCGGAGATCGTTTCCTGCTGGCTGGTCGTTGTATGTGTTATTATGCTTGCGAAGTGCTGGTTGTTCAATTGCCACTGCAATGAAATAAAGTTTTACAGGGGAAATAGCTTAGGAGAGAGGAACGGCTATTTTATTGCTGCCTTGGCGGGTTATCGAATCATACGTATCTTGCTAAACTAAATTATGTGCGTAATGGCACATTAAGCGCATGCCATTATGCAGCGCAACGTGGTCCGTGTCCTCTGGCGTAGCGCTAAGATTTACGTGCAATACTTTCACATTGCTTGCAGGCATTATTATCATGAACTGCACCCTGTCCGTCTCCATTTCTCGAAAAAAACTTTCAGTTCATCCTTTCATCACCAATTGTGCCGTCAGGTGGATATGAAGGCGAAGACCGGAAAATGTGTCAATTCCTAGAATATTAACGGGCGTATCAATGCTATCTCCTCTGTGTGCGTCATGTATCCTCCTCATCTGGACTCCAGTCAGAGAGAAGCCTTATCCACAATCCTTTTTCTAATCTTCTTCGCTTTCCACATTGACCTCTTGGTGCTTCCCGATTAAAGAGGATATTCTGGCATGAAAAGAGCGAGATGGAGTATGAAAAACAACCTTTTCCCATTCCAAGGCTGCAGGCACCACAACCTCCTCGCTGTAGATATTGCTTTCCTGATTTTGCGCCTTCTGCCTGTAGTCGACTTGTTGCTTTGTTGAAAACGCATTGGCTGCATACTGATCGTAATGTTTCTAAATAAAAAAAGCCCCTCGTCCGTGATATTTAGCACACCGCATTCTTCATGCTTCGTAGAGGCCATAAATGGACAAGATAACCCTTACCAGCAAGTTGAACAGAGTATAGACCGATCCCTCGAGGAAGAATTTGGCCTCGTCTCTTGTCGTTGGCAGGACAATCGGACTACAAGCAGATCCTGCCACCCAGATGTCATGGTACTTGCGGATCTGGAAAATGGAAGCCGATAATCCTATTCATATTAAACCAGTTAGTACCTCGCTCCTTATTCTTTTCGTAACACAAAACTCAAAGCTTTGTGTATTACCGTGTATATTGAGAAGCGGTGGGCACTCAAGACCATATCGCCCGAGCTCCAGCAGAATGCTTTTGTTGATCTTGATGTTTTTGAGACGCTGGACAGCAACATCCTCCATGCTAGCTTTTGCTCGTTTCGCTTCGAAGTTGCCCACCTCCAGACCTCCCACCTTCAAAATACAATCGCACTTTCGAGTGCTGTTTCCAGTGCTGAAAATCGTGGCAAGTTGAGATTTGGAGAGGGTAGCAGCGGCGCATCCTTGCTCGCCTCTACATATACATATCAGTAAAAAAACAGACAATTGATTAGCATCTGGTTGACTATTCTTTGTGAACAATTCATGTACTTACAGGCAAAGGTCGAGTGCGGTGGTCAATGGCAATCCATCCCGAAAAACAGAGGCCCACACAAACATGGCATCAGCTTCCGACGAGGACTCGTTCCCATGCAGTGGTTTGATGATATTTTTGAAACTAAAAAACAAGAAATCATTAGATCTATTTTTTTCTTATAAAAAAAAGAAAAGAAAAAAAAAGAAACGTACATGGTCTGCAACACCTCCAGGAAGGACCGCAATTCTGGGTGCTGTGCTTGAAGTGCATATGTAGCATCCAGTACATCCTCAGCGCCTTTCCTGGCATTCACCATATCCAGCAATGGCTGGATAATAATATCCAGTTTTGCGTCTTTGACCTCCAAATCCGACAAAAGGCAGCGACCCCTTGCCTCGTTAGTTCGACCTGCGCCAAACAGATTATTCGCCTTGCTTGAGAAAAGATTCCAGATCCCCGACAGGGCAACCCTATTTCACAGAGTTACCTTAGTTAATTACAGCCATAAAGCAAATATATATTATAGCTAAAAAATAAAAAATAAAATAAAAAACCATACAAAGATTCCTTCCAAGGACGTATACTACGATCGACCCCTTCGGTGGCCGTGTGAAGACTGTCCAGTGCCAGGTAATACAATGTCGTCTTTAAAGGAGAGTCGACTCCTGGTTTTGGTACATCGGAGAGAGGAGGCAGCTCAACGGGACACCCGGAGTGCTAAAGTACAGAAGTAGTAAAGCACATTAGATGGGAGGGGGATGGATAGAGAGGAGAGGCAGGTGAAGTACATACACTGAGCACAGCACTGTGAATAAGGGAATGCCAAGGTTCTTCGATTTTTGGACTTGGTTCCCTTGTGTATTGGGGAATCTCTTTTCGGGTACGCTTCTGAGAAGCAGAGACAGCGATTGCCTTTCTCTTTTCATCGCTCTTCTAAAGGAGTGGAATTGCCGAGTTGAGGTTATAGAGACAGCTTAGGTCAGTGGAGACTAATAGCCAAGGTTGAAAACAATGGGCCCCGCAGAGATCGAGGAGCTTGCAGAATAAAGACCAAGCGTGCCTTGCATGGCTGCGCTGGAGATAACGACTGCTCCTGCTGCAGGGGTTGTTGTTGTCCGTGTTGTTGCCGTTGCTGTAGACGGGCTAGGGCGCGAACGGAAGATGAGGATGGCGAGTCACTCTGTACAGCCTGTGGAGGCAAAAGAACAAAAACAACATGTATAAGAAAAATGGTGAGCTATATTCATGTCCATTCAAGCATCCTTCAAGCTTCTTACAAGGACATTCCGAAGAACCTGTTCCAATTTACCTTTGATCCTTTTAAGAAATGCTTCGTTCGCACATGAGCTAAATAAATCGACTCCGACTTGCCCATCTCCTCGTGAGCACGCCGCAGACTCATGTCCAGTTCCGCAGAATCCAACGAAGCCTTGCCCTCCTCTGTCTTGTAATACTTGAGACATGCTCCAGCATAAGTGTTAACAGTGCCTATCCCAGCACGCCTGATTGCTGACAGGCCCTGCACGAATTGTCCCATATTGATGGCATCATCATGCGCAGCGAATTTCGAAGGCGTCCAGTCTACGGGAGGCGTTAACTTGAAAAACTCGTGCACAGGTAACGACAAGATATCAGAGGCATTGATGGCCTCTGCGTTTTGAATAACAGGGTACATCTTGAGAGGATGCAGAAGAATGAGACGCGTCAAGGCAAGTAGCTCGTTTCTCGCCGAAAACACGTCACGGAAGACGTTCTTCTTGCGAGGACGCGCAACCTCAAAGTAAAAAGTGTGCTTGCTTACACACACCACAATTTTATTTTTGTTCCCCACCGTTGTCGCCATGTTTTCTTTGCGGGTCTGGACAGCCCACCCTTCACGGCCTTGAAGGAACGCACCAATGCTCGTTTGAAGGACAATTCCTGGCGGCTATGGGCGGTTCCACTTCACTGGCTATGTGGTTCTGGTCTAGCGGCACCAGCAGACCAGCGCCAAAGGTAAGTACTCTCTTCCGAAACGGTCGTCCTGGATTAGGAAGAGATATCCTTTTTCCAACTACTCCATCCAACAGCTTTCATGTGCTATGCGTGTCTTCTCATCTCACTACGGTCGCCATGTTTTCTTTGCGGGTTTGGACAGCCCACCCTTCACGGCCTTGAAGGAACGCACCAATGCTCGTTTGAAGGACAATTCCTGGCGGCTATGGGCGGTTCCACTTCACTGGCTATGTGGTTCTGGTCTAGCGGCACCAGCAGACCAGCGCCAAAGGTAAGTACTCTCTTCCGAAACGGTCGTCCTGGATTAGGAAGAGATATCCTTTTTCCAACTACTCCATCCAACAGCTTTCATGTGCTATGCGTGTCTTCTCATCTCACTACGGTCGCCATGTTTTCTTTGCGGGTTTGGACAGCCCACCCTTCACGGCCTTGAAGGAACGCACCAATGCTCGTTTGAAGGACAATTCCTGGCGGCTATGGGCGGTTCCACTTCACTGGCTATGTGGTTCTGGTCTAGCGGCACCAGCAGACCAGCGCCAAAGGTAAGTACTCTCTTCCGAAACGGTCGTCCTGGATTAGGAAGAGACATCCTTTTCCCCTCTTATCCCTTATGGTCTTCTGTTTGGCAATGTTCATTGTATTCGTTTGTTGACGTATTTCTCATGACACTCCTCGCCATCAGCAAACACTTGAGGAAGTCATTCTACTGGCCTTTGGAGGCGCGTACGGCGCTTGCACAGTATCTCAGATCGAAGGGGTGGATTGTACTCGAATGCTCGACCGAGGCGGATATCGATATGGCCTGTGATTGCACACCCGGTGATGTGATTATATCAATCGACAGCGACATGTTTATCTACAAGAACGTCTCGATCATTAGGCTGTCAATTTCAAGATGGCGGTTTCTCGTTTATGTCCTTCCAGATGTCCTTGCCACCCTAGGCATCAATAGAACTCAATTGACAGTGCTTGATCTGGTGTCGCACAACGATTACAATAGTAACATCCATGGACTAGGATGTGCAACCAATTTCAGTATCATCAAAGGGTTGCATGGCAACGGTATGCCTTTAAAAACGATCATATATCAAACGTCCCTCTTCATTGTCGAAGATATTAAATGTGTTTATGTTCTGATGAATGATCGAATCTTTTGTTAGATCCCACGTTAATGGTTTAGAAATACTTGGCCAATAGTCGCGTCGTTCTTAACATGGATCAAAACACCTTTGCGGCCTTATCAAGGTGTTCGCCCAGGGGGTGCAGACTCCTGCACAACTTGTTCTTCTCACTGAGTCCTCCGGACAAGAGCCAATGGCCTTTGGCATTAATATAGGTAGGTTTAATCATTTCCGCGAGCAGCATGCCATGAGCAAAAGCGAGCAAAGAGAAATGCAGCTTGCAAAGAAAGGGTGCTACATTTTACTTTGTACAAGAACGCTCCTCTACCCTCAAGTGCTCAGTTGTTGATCTGTCTCATTTTTGGATAAATAGCGACCCATCCAAGGAAAGGGTCATAAGCAATGCGCCAGAGAAGAGGGCATTCTACCCCATCCTGGTCCAAACCGCATTCTGGTCGATATTCCTCGGTGACTCCGTAGTTTGTGATGAGCTGGTTGGCCTTGGTGTCGGCGATCGCCGTGCACATCTCAATAAAAGACATTTAGCAATCTCAAGTGCATCATTGCTCGGTGCAGCATGTCGTCCCGGTGACAGTTGACAGAATCAAAGCACCGCTGCATATTCTTGAACACAATCCATTGCTCCTACTTGGATTCCCGCTGCATCCTTCATGACACAATTCAACGCATGGATGGGGTTCTTCGTCTTGCACCTTTAAGAACCGAGTAATTTGTCCGTCGAGGATGTTGTGCTGTGTAATAATCTTACTGAGCCGTTTGGTGAGAATCGAGAGCATGATCTTCCATACGTGTTCCAAAAGCGTTATCGGATGCACATTAGCCATGCTACTGTCCTGCACCTAATAAAACGAAGGAGCGCAATTCCATCGTGGACCATCGCATAAAGAGCCTCTATGTACAAGGTATTCAGCCGGCTCATAGGACCACCGAGTCCCACAGACTAGGAATGCGGTTGGAGGATATCAAAGACGAGGACGATGGACTACCTAAAGAGGAAGGGTGGAAGGTTTTTACATGCCTTGGTTGCCTTTCAGCTTCACATTTTGAATGGCAGAATTCTGGTTTCTTCCTCTCTCGAAACTCTGTCAGCCGCAAATACCACTTCAGTGGATGACCTTGGCATCGACAGCGAGACTCGGAGGGACGAGTACATGCAGGAGATGAATAAGATCAGCCCGAATTATACGCTACTATTAGAGAGGAGTCCTCATTAGGAATCACGCGGCAAGAGAAACCTGCAGTCGATGCGGAGACATACTCTGAAGACGTTGCCAGGGCCTGTGCAGCTCAGGCTGAATCGGCGAGTTATATCCATGACGCGACGTGTCGATTGCGCCATAGTCACCATGGCAGGATTTGCAGGACAATGTCTCAAGTCGTCTACGTTCATAAGGTATCGAAAAGAGATGGACGCTGCTGCGGACATGAACGAAGTGGATACGGTGTAAAAGTATAAAGACACAGCTCCCGAAATAGTGGACCGACCGATGATCTTGTTAACGCTTATGCAAACGCAACATCTGCTGACCCAACTGGCCTGTCAGATTCTGCAGCAACACGGACAACCGTTAGAACAGCAAGCATCGACGCGAACTCAGGGCGAGTTGCAGGACACCAAGCAGCTCTTTTTCAAGTAGCAACAGTAGCACCAGCATTAAATGCCATGGAAAGAAGGTGCAGACGCGGCGGGCAAGGAGTGCGGAAGACGGGAACTAAAAAAAAAAAAAAAAAGGTTGGCAAAGCAGGTTCGTTTATTGATTTCACATTGCATTCCTTTCAAGGCCAACAATGTTCCTTTCCCGGCAATTAGATATTTCTGTCAGTCCTTCACTAAATTGTAAATCGAATGACAGATGCTTTGTCATCTCTTGCCTTTCCAAGGTAACGGCGGATAAAATAAACATACCGTTCCTGCATTGCTGCGCCCGGGTCAATGCGGGCATACTGCAAAAATAATAATAAAAAGGCGCCTGGTTTTAATCGAGCTCCACTCTTCACAATCCTATTCGGATATCATCTACCACAATGCTTCGTCTAATATCGTCAAGAACCCCTCTAGCGCAGGTGTGTTTTGCCTCCCTATCTTGCCGTCCTAACATGGCCAAGAATGTTGTTCAGCTCACTCAAATATTGGAATCAATAGATCGCATCTCACAACACCAAGAAATTATCAGCTCCGGTTCTCACAACTCTGCCTCGGCTTTATTCAACCTTTACAGGTAAAGGCCACAGTGCATTCCCAGCAAGCGGCTTTTGTAGAACCCGAGATGGACAAACACTAATTTTTCGTTAAATTTCTTTTCTACCGCTAGATGAATTGGATCTCGTTGTCATTGGAGGTGGTCCGGGAGGTTATGTTGCTGCCATCAAAGCTGCCCAACTCGGTCTAAAGGTACAAGCCGGTATCAAGAAGTCCTGGCGATCATTTGTAGCTCTACATACTCACTTCTCTTCTTAAATTTTTCTCATTATTTGGCGTAGACTGCGTGTATCGAAAAGCGTGGCGCTCTCGGCGGCACTTGCTCCAATGTCGGGTGTATTCCCTCCAAGGCTATGCTAAACAATTCTCATATCTACCATCAAACAAAGCATGACCTCAAAGCCCGCGGCATCGATGGTATGCACTGATTCTCACTGAATGACCTATAGCTTTTTTTTTTTTTTTTTTTGACGGATGCTAACAAACCAATTCATTCTCCTCTAGTCGGCGATGTTGTATTGAACCTCCCGGTCATGCTAAAAGCCAAAGATAAAGCTGTCTCAGGCTTGACCAAAGGGATCGAGTTCCTATTTAAAAAGAATAATGTTGCCTATCATAAAGGTGCGGGCAAGTTTTTGAATCCCCACGAGATCGAGGTCACAGGTCAAGATGGCACCGTCAGCACCCTCAAGGCCAAGAATATCGTCATCGCCACTGGATCTGTCGCCTCCGGCTTCCCTGGAATCGAGATCGATGAGAAACAGATTGTCACGTCAACGGGTGCGTTGGAGCTACAGCAGGTCCCCAAGAAGATGCTGGTTATTGGCGCCGGTGTCATTGGTCTGGAACTGGGGTCTGTATGGCAACGTCTTGGTGCTGAGGTCACGGTGGTAGAGTATCTTGATGCAATCGGAGCAGGCATGGATAGCGAGATGGCGTAAGTACCCATCTGAGTGAGTAAACAACGGCAAATCTTCGGTTGGCGGTCGGAGTATTAACAAACCTCGCATGATGTGTTTGAATGTATATAGCAAAGCATTTCACCGCATACTTTCGAAGCAAGGGCTCAAGTTCAAACTGGGCACCAAAGTCCTCGAGACCGAGAAACTTGCTAACGGACGTGTTGGTCTCAAGGTTGAGGAATCCAAGGGCGGCAACGCTGAAACTGTAAGCTGCACCATCTCTCAGACTTACAACACACAGCAATGAAAGAATGCTAACCATTGTTCGTTACTCAAATTTAGCTGGAAGCGGATGTGGTCCTGGTTTCGATAGGTCGCAAACCATATACTGAAGGCCTTGGTCTCGAGAATGTCAAAATCCAAGTTGATAAGCGCGGCCGCATCCCCATAGACTCTGAGTACCGCACCTCTGTCGCTAACATCCGTTGTATTGGTGATGTCACCTACGGCGCCATGCTAGCCCACAAAGCTGAGGAGGAGGGCATTGCAGTCGCAGAGCTCATCAATGGAGAGCACGGTCATGTCAATTATGACACGATCCCTTCTGTGATCTACACGCACCCCGAAGTCGCGTGGTGTGGGAAGTCTGAGGACGAGATCAAGAAGAGCGGGATCGAGTATAATGTTGGCAAGTATCCGTTCTCAGCCAACCCGCGTGCGCGCACGAATGGCGATCAGGAAGGGATGATCAAAATGATCTCGGATAAGGAGACAGACCGGATTCTGGGGGTACATATTATGGGTCCCAATGCGGGGGAGATGATCGCGGAGGCAGTATTGGCAATGGAGTATGGGGCTTCTTCAGAGGATATCTCGAGGACTACACATGCACATCCGACGTTGGCGGAGGCGTTCAAAGAGGCGGCCATGGCGACTCACAGTAAACCGCTTCATATCTGAAGATGCATATTTTATTTGTATCACCAAAAACATTCTTTATCTCTATCTAGCCTTCCATAATAAAAGTTTGGGAATTAAACGCGCTCAACGTCCAATTGCTCCACTGGAATTCCCAGGCACAGGGCAATCAGTGGCTTGTTGCTAGACAAACAATCCTCGCTCCAGATCCCGTTGCCTTCAAGGCATCAGCAATACCCCCCAGGAAACCCAACACATCATTCACCTACTTTCTTAGCGCTGGCAGCTACTCGAGGACGACAGCGGTCCACGACTCAACACTTTCAGGAACAGTACTTGATCTGACAGGGGGATAAGATCCCTTTCTTTGCTTCCATCGACTGGTACTACTTGCACCCGATCAAAACCACGATTCACCATGCACTCTGTAGTGAGGACAGCCAAGGCTGGATCACCTCTAGGCAGGGCCATTAACGGAAAGGTGCCGCCAGCTGTTCCATTGCTGAAGCCTTCTAAGGCAACCACTCTTCACCAGCGCACACAGCCGGCAGTCGCGGCCTTCTCGACCAATGCTCTCGCATATCGCTCTGGATCAAATCTTATCTCGCCACGCGTGTCGTCTTTGTTGGCGAATCGGATGCACTGGACACGACAATGTATGTGCCATGGGGAAAGCGGGCAGTGGTTCGATCTAATATGATTAATTCGCCATGAAAAAGCTAAGAAGCAACGGTGCTTTTTTTTTTTTCTTCTTTTTTTTGTTACTCGAACCATTATTGTTCTAGTACACACAACGCAGCCTTCAGCAGCTCTAGGAACACCGACATCAGCAAATATTCAGGAACTGGAACAACTCCTTGCCAAGGGTGAATACGCCGGATTTCAACAGGCATGCATTGCAGCCAGCACTAGTCCCACGAAGGATTCATACCACTTTCTGCTCAGAACATTAGCAGAGCAACCGAAGGCCTTTGCTCCTCTGTCGACATCGACCGCCACCAACACTGAGACCTTTGATCCACTCAATAGCGCTATTGGGATCCTGACAGATATGAGTCGCGAGGCCAACATGAACGGAAAGACGGCGCTTCAACCTGATCGGGAGACCTTGCTTTTATTGCTCAGGATCGCCGGATCCAAGGAGCGACTCGCGCCTTCGTCATCGCAACTGCAGGAGGATGGAGATCGCACGAGATGGGAGTCAGCACGCTTGCTAGTGGACGCTCTCCGTCATGGCCGCTTGCCAGCAGTCATGTCTCCAGATCAGTGGGAGCTGCCGGATCTGAATATTGAGCTGGATCAAGAGTTGTGGAAGGGCATGTTCGCGTGTGTGAATGCCGCGGCCGGGGGTGTCCATGGAAAGCAGTTCCAGGATGAGTTGGATACGACCATGTATTTGATGGCAGATCAACTGAATCGGTCCCAGGATGTACAAATGGATGAGCAGCTGTGGGGCTACGTTATCGAGGTGATTGGAAATGTTGCTACAGCCCAACCCTATGGGACTGTATTCATTCGAGCGTCCTCCCAGACTTTCAGGAATTAACATTATTTTGTACAATTCTACTAGGCATATGGGAATTCTGGATCGACGACAAAGCTGCGCAGTACCCTTTCAAGGCTTCCCGATATCACTCACGCCACTCCAGAACTATACTCCACTGTCGCAGAGGCCCTTGCCAATTGTGGATCGACAGCACGGGCGATGCACATAATGCATACTCTCAACAACACGCACAGCAACCTTCCCTCCATCAAACCTTTTATCGCCCTGGCACGTCAACATGTCAAGACCGGCAACTACGAAGCCCTTCGCAGCGAGTACAAGATGTGGACAGCCAAGGGTCAGAGTTCAGCCGTGAATGACGCCAGCATCATTGATCTGCACCGAGCGATGTTGTCAGCCAGTGCGACCGCTCTCGACAGGATGGTCAGTGTGGTTTCGAGGGTGCTGAAGGATCGCCAAGCAAATACGTTACCGGACGATGTACTCCCGGGCATGATGACACCGCCCCAGTTAAGCCTCCTACAGTTCGGCGAAGCCTCGTACCTGTGGATCCGTACCCAGGAGGCCATCAACGGCATTACTGAGGACCGATTGACACAGGAAGATTACGACACTATCATGCGGATCTTGACACGATTGAATCTTTTGCAGCCCTCGCAGTGGTCGTTGGAGAAGCATGCTAGGAAGGTGATCCCGGAGATGAAGCAGCGTGGACTGAAGCCCTTAAAGTCAACGTATTTCACATTGATGGAGACGATTGCTCGGACACGCGAATACGGTGCGTCGCGTGGGAATGGACAAGTGGCTAGGCAAGCTAGGAAGGTGTTTGAGGAGATGACACAGGAGGGCTATGCTGCTACATCGGCCAAGGATTTCAGACCGTTGATCGAGGCGTGCTTTGGAATCTACTCGCACTCGCCATTTGTGGCGGGCCAATGGATGTACTCGAATCAGCTCTATCCAGTGTGCAACAGTGCACTCGAAAAGGTGGAGCAGATGATGCAGAAGGCTCTGGCGCCGGAGGATCAAGGCGAGAGCAGCAGCAGCACTGGCAGCAACAGCATTCATAGGTACCACGATTCTACAACGATTGCGGCCTTGTTGGCAGGTTTAGCGCATGGCGATCAAGTGGATGAGCTTTGGAAGCGGTGGGATGATCTGGCACTTCAGGGAATCGAACGTGATGCGAAGTTGTATCAGACAGTGATTGGCGCGTCCCAGGGACAAGAAAAGTTGGCCCAATATGTCCTGAGGACGGTTCGGTACGAGATGCAGAAGGAACAGCCGCCTATCCCTATGACACCAGAGATCTTTTCAGGACTATTGAACTGCTGTGTTCGTGCACAGGATACGATTTCGGCGCGCAGTCTGATTGCGCAGTGCTCTTTGTCGGGCGAGATCCAAAAGTCAGCAGAGTGGTACGTGCCCATGGTTCGGACGTGTCTGGTGTTGGAAGGCTTAGAGGAGGAGGGGACGTTCTTGTTGGAGGAGATGAGGAAGAGTGATATGAAGATGGATAGCTTCTCGGGCTCGTTTTATGAGTTCTTGATGTCGTACTTTGTCACGAAGCGGATGGACCATCAGGCAGGAAGGGAGATATTCAAAAGGTTTGTCCAGAGTGAACAGCAGAAGATCACGGAGCTTTTAGAGGCCAGGGAAAGGATGAAGCATATCCGGTTGGATGAAGAGCTCGAGGACGACCAGCAGCAGGTGCTGATATTTTCGAATAAGGAGCTGACAAAGCGTGCACGGCGACTCCAGGCACCTGTCGAACATTTGGTGGAGAGGGTCGATATCTCAGCAAGAACTGCATCGATGCTCAATCTTTTGATGTTATCGTACATCCGTGAACGGATGACTTTGCTGGAACATGAGCAGCGGTCGGGCTTTGGCGCCGGTGCACAGGAGCACCTAAGGAATGCGCGGGCCGTAATTCATTGTTTAGTGGGCGAGAGAAAAGTCCATCAATTGGCCCAGGGAATGGGATTGCAGACGAGCTCGGTATCGATACCCAACACAATCATTTCATCCCCAGAATCTCAGGGATCGGATTCACTTTCGCGGCTGCTCGACCAATCCCTGCTTACGTCCCAGTCCCGCGTACCGGAACCCGGACACCAGAGCAACGGCCGTCTCATCTTTGTGAACAAGTACGCTCTGGGCGAGTACATTGATACGTGCATCAAGGAAGGATCACCCGAGATGCTGGAGGAGGCTAGCTGGGCCCTGAACAGGATCATGCCCCGAGTCATTGGTGAAGCAAGGATCGCCAAGGATACACAGAGGCTCAGACAGGCACTGGAGAACGCACGGAGCAGACAGTATGGGGAGATGGACATATGAAGCGATTGAAACATAGACAAGAACCTTAAAAAATAGACATGTAAATATTACGGCTGAATGGTGTCATATTATTATGGTATGGGCAAATGCTAAGTAGTGCTGCTGTTCGTATGTTGTTCATGACTCCCTTTCCTATCCTTTTTTGTCGGTTCACAACATTTTTTTCGGCTCAATCGGTTCAAGCGACAGAAACAGTAGCAAAAGCAACTTCCTCTTCTGAGGGTATCCTCTCGTAGGCTGCATGATTCAGAGTAAGGTTCCTGAGTTGTGTTAGTGGGGTAATATTGAGTAACAGAAGGTTCTGCATCACCTCGCCGTCACCATGACCACTGCTGACCCTGCTGTTGCTGCCTGGGAGCTGACGCTGGTGCTGAAAGGCGTCGAGAGAATCCGTAGAGGGCCTGACGAGTCTCCAGCCGATCTTTGTTGAAAGTGACGATGAAGGATTCATGCTGACATGTGCCATAGTGTCATTGGATGATGAAACAGCCGAAGCGATCATGCCGCTGATACTGAGGGTGTCCATGTCCAGCGATACCCAGGGCTCCTCCAAAAACGCAGCGACCTCGTCCTGAATATTAGACGCCTGTTGATGATGATGATGATGGTGGTGGTATCCCTCTGGCGAAGAGGTCGAAGGTTCGATGGCTGCATGAACGAGGTCCTTGTCCCATGACAAGTTCAGTTCTCTGAGACGCACGAGCGATGCCTTGAGCCGACGAACACAGTGCACCTCCCTGATCATGTCAATCCCTGTTTGCTGGTCCGATTCTGACGACTCGTGGAAGGAGAATGTGAGTGACTTGAGTGAGTGACGCTGACTGACCAGGGCTTCGGTCAATCCATGATCCAGTGTCACCATGTCTGCAGAAAAGGCTTCGAGTCGTCGACAGGCATTCACGAGCGCAGCAGACTCAAAGTCGTGGAGGAAACATTGGCTCTGGATGACGGAGGTGTAATTGGAGGAGAACTTGATCGCCGAAAGTTCAGGGCAGCATTCGCGAATGTTTTGGGCAAGTCGACCGATCTGGAACTCTTTGCTGCGGTGGTCGTTATTGCCCAACAGACTCGTGATGATGTTACCCAGGTTGCTGTTATTCACATGATGATGATTCGCGCCAGGGATGGGACTGGGCGCGGGCGAGCGGGTCCTGGATCCTGTGAGGGACAATCGTTGCAGACGAGGGCAACAGCGGACCAAATCCACCAGTGCCGGACTCTCGGTGCCGCCGAACGTGATATGCAACTCTGTCAAGAATGGTAATTCCAGTCCCTCAATCGAAGTGACGCCCTCGACGGTCGACAGGGCCAGGTTCGACAGCCGACTCGCGTTATTCCTCAGCACCTTCACAAACAATCCCTCTCCCAGACTAAACCCTGACGTCTTTAGCACATCCAGGTTCTCAAGCCCCATGAGCGCCTTGAGCTCGAGTTGCCATTCTTGTTGCTGCTCCAGAGTTTCGATCCGACGGTAATATGGTCCACCCCAGACGAGGCGCTTAAGACCCAGGTTAGTGATGAGGAGTTCACGGGACCATTCTTGTCCGTAGACGGTTGAGAGTTCGATGAGATTCTGACAGTGGAAGGGGCCCTTGAAGGGGCCAGTGTTGGAGATTATGCGGAAGAGGTGGGAGTACTGAATGAGGATGGAAGAGGGGACGTTGCGCATGCGGAAGCCGTCGTAGACGAACCAGAGCGTTGGAAGGAGAGAGGCGCGCCAGAGCTTGGAGACGAGGGCGCAGCGGAGGAGAGGGAGAGGAGAGAACTCGCGATGGAAGCCTTCACCGGACCAGAGGGGAAGGAACTGGCCGATGCGGGTGAGGATCTCGGGGAGGTCTAGAGGACTTGGGTGGTGGGGTGCGAATGAAGATGAGGAGGGTGTGGATATGGAAGGCTCCATGGTGGAGGGATAAGAAGATATGAAAGAGATGAGAAGAGATGAGACGGGATGAGGTGAGGAGAGAAGGGCTGACGATGAGATGTAGAATGAAGAATGAGGAGATGGAGAAGTGTGAAAAGTAAAGCGAGGTGGAGTGCTTTTGTTTCTAAGGGGCAGAGACAATGAGACAGGGCGCGGTAATGCTCGAGAAAAGTGTGGGGTTCATTGCCAAATGGGGTGAAGGGGTTTATTCCACGGACACCCTTCGTTATTTTTAGGCCAATTTTCTCACGCTCTCAATCTCTTCATCAATCGAAATAATACCCTGCAACAAGACAGCATGCACATGGTTAAGAGAGGGCTCCCGTTTAACAAGCACCGAAAGATCGAATTCCATGTGTCATCTCGTTTTGAGGACCATGTCATACGATAATTCATGTGCTGCCACTGAATATCTGTAGTTGCCGTCAGGTCCAATTCCAATGATGTGATCCGGGGGCCAAACTTTGCTAGGTAGAATAATGGTATTATCGTCTATTCCATCGCGCACGTCAAATTCTTTCATGCACCATCGATATTGATGAATAAGGTCAAAGTTGTGAGGAATGTATTAATGCTGTTCTCAAAAAATGCAATGTGCAAGGCTAAGCTGTTAGGAATTTGAGTGTGAGTGTAGTGTAGTAGCTTGTAGTGGCCGGTATTAAAGTCCGCACTGTGTTCGATCTCAGGGGGTTCTCGCGATAATGCTCGTCGCAGACTCACTTGATATGTCCTGCGCACGTCTTGATATAAGGCAGCCTGTCAAGAGTGCGACCCCTGTCCTTGGTTCTCAGAAACGCCTCGGATCTTCGCAGGCTCACTCCCTCCAATTCTTTTAAAGTCCTCCCAGCCTTGCATCTTGTTGCTTCCTACATGCGTGCTATCCTGCCGATCCCAGATATGGCTAGTAGAGTTGATCCGATGCTGTATACTTCGCCAGGTCCTGTTACCAGGTCAGAGGCCATAATTCCATTCTTGAGCATCTTCATGATCGTCGACGTGCGTGGCTCGCACCTCTGGAAGCGCTCGTTAGTTCTCTGGATGCCTTACTCCTCGCTTTCCAGTATGTGAATTTTATCCAGTATTTGAGAGCCGCGCTTGCAGAGAAACGTGCTCCTAGGTTTGGAGGACGCGAACTTGGACCATATTGATGGACGAGACTTGTGTTACCATAGGACCGAAGCGCTTGATGGGTGTTTTCTCAAACAAAATAAAAAAAGCTGCCTGGAATGTCTGTCCAACATGGTTGCCTAGGCGTATGATATGTAGAGTTAAGCGTAAACAAGGATCGTCTATCTGGCACATCGGTCAAGTCAGCTGGCAATTGGACAGGTTAGCTTACCTTCCCATTCTCCACAGTGGTATTGGGGAGGGGGGAAGGGAGGGGGGGGGGGGGTATCGAGATCCAGGCATTCCTCGAAGGCCGGGGCGGTACCCTGGGTGCACCCTAGCCATTCTGCAACCTGATCGCACAGGTACGCAGCGGACTGAGCGTCGAGGACCACGAGCGGTTCTTCACAGAGATGCTGTCGGACTTTGACACTCCGGCACTGCTCTTTCTGCTGAGTAATGTCCACCGCGACGGAGTCGAAGTCGCGGAGTCACATCGCATGCTGCCTCAGGGCTTGAACAACCGCCTGCGCGCTCATGCCAAGTAGCTCGGAGTCAGTCTTGCCAGCTTGTGTCACTTGGCTTGGGCCCAGGTCATTGCCCGTACCAGTGGACAGCAGAAGGTCGTCTTTGGAACTGTGCTCTTTGGCCGGATGGCAGGTGGTTCTGGATCCGGCCGCGCTATGGGTCTGTTCATCAACACCCTGCCTCTCAGGATCGAGTTGGAGGACGTCAATGTCCAGAAGAGTGTGCACCAGACCCATGAACGTTTAGCATCGCTGCTCAAGCATGAGCATGCGTCCCTGGCTTTGGCCCAGCGCTGCAGCAGCATCCCCGCCGGCAGTCCCCAATGCTACTCCGCCCACACAAGCCTTGACCGATTCGGGCATGGAGGTCCTCGATGCGACGGAGCGCACCAATTACCCGTTCGTCATGTCCATCGAGGGCTTTGGCACATCCCTCGGCCCTACTTCGCAGATCGCACGGCCCTGTGACGCAGACAGGATCTGCGCGTACATGCAGGAGGCACTGCAGAGTTTTGTCGAAGCCCTCGATGACTCACCTGAGGCCCCTGTCCAGAGTCTTAACATCCTGCCTGCAATTGAGCGCAACCTGCTGGAGTCATGGAATGCCACCAGCACCTCATTCTCTGACAAGCTCTGCATTGACCAGATCTTCGAGGGCCGTGTAGAGCAGGCGCCAGAGGCTATTACTCTTGTGTATGAGGACCAGTCGCTGACGTACAAAGAGCTGAGTGTGCGTTCGAATGCGCTTGCTCATCAGCTTGTGGAAGCCGGTGTCTGCGCTGGCGACTGTGTGGGAATGTATCTTGCTCGACCGATGGAGCTGGTCATTGCTCAACTGGCCATCCTCAAGGCTGGAGCTGTATATGTTCCCATTGACACTAAGGCACCGATCGAGCGCCAGACCTGGATTGCGGCTGGTTGTGCTGCCCGCTTGATGGTCACGGACCTTCACACAGAAGTCCCCTCTGCCATTGAGACGCATGTACTTCGTTTCAGTGCGAGCCAAGTAGAGGGTCAAAGCTCTACGCTGGATGGACCCCACATCGATGTTGTGCGCTCCGGCGGGGATATCGCCTATGTGATGTACACCTCCGGTTCTACGGGCGTTCTCAAGGGTGTCGTTGTCTCACACCGTGGTATCTCTCGGCTGGTCATCAACAACGGCTATGCCGATAAGTGCAGAAGACTGTGTTGCCTTAGCAACTAACCCTGCCTTCGATGTCAGCACGTTTGAACTGTGGGCACCTTTGCTCAACGGCGGTCGTGTTGCCATTATTGACGCGGATACGTCCACTGATTCGCACCGCCTGTCTGAGGCTTTAACGCGCCATGGGGTTACGATCATCTTCTTGATAACTGCACTGTTCAACCAGTGTGCCTTGAGCATAGGCTCTCATCTAGCCAAGTTGAGATATCTGCTTTGCGGTGGTGAGCAGGAGAATCTGAATTCCTTTACGGCGCTTCTCAAGCTGGAAGGACCATCACATCTCATTCACTGCTACGGTCCTACAGAGACAACCACGTATGCCACTAGTCACGAGCTCAAGAATATCGAGAAGGGCCAGGACCGCTTGCCAATCGGTCGTCCCATCGGCAACACCACCGTCTATGTCTTGGATACGTACCGCCAGCCTGTTCCTATCGGAGCTGTCGGCGAGCTGTTCATCGGCGGTCCCGGTGTGACCATTGGCTACCTCAACCGCCCAGACCTCACTGCCGAGCGGTTTTTACCTGACCCCTTCAGCAGCCATCCTGGCGGACGCATGTACAAGACTGGCGATCTCGTGCGCTCGCTCCCTGACGGCAACTTACTGTTCATGGGACGCAGCGATGACCAGGTCAAGATCCGCGGCTTCCGTGTCGAACTAGGAGAGATCGAGTCGTGGCTGGTTGAACATCCCTTGGTCCGCGAAGGATCATTCACCGTACTGGGATCCAGCAATGATAAGCGTCTTGTTGCCTATGTCGTCGCTGACCCACAGGAACAGCTGGCCCACATTCTGCGTACCTTCCTCGCCAGTTGTCTTTCCGAGTACATGGTCCCCAGTGCATTCGTCCGCTTGGATGCACTGCCTCTGACTGGGAACGGCAAGGTTGACAAGCGTGCACTTCCTGAGCCTGACAGAGGCGCATTCGTCGCCCAAGGTTATGAGGAGCCCCGAGGTGAGATCGAGACAGTACTGGCTGGCATCTGGGCCGAGTTGCTGCACCTCGATCGTGTCAGCCGCAACGACAACTTCTTCATGCTCGGCGGTCACTCTCCTCTGGCTGTACGTCTGATCAACATCGTGCGCTCCAGCCTGGGCTTTGAGATGACACTGCGTACTTTGTTCGGAGCACCTATGATTGCAGGGTTGGCCCAGCAGCTGTCGCAGGAGGAGGATGGTCAGGACGACACATTTGATGTGCTGGTGCCACTCAAACTCAATGGCAGCTTGACTCCTCTATTCTGCATCCACCTCGGTCTTGGTCTCAGCCGGGGCTACTTGGGCCTGTCCAAGCACTTGCACCCAGAGCAGCGTTTGTATGGTCTGCAGGCACGCGGTATTGGCGGAATTGGAAAGATGGCGGAGACGATCGAGGAGATGACACAGGATTATATCGACCAGATCCGCCACGTTCAGCCTCATGGACCCTATCACCTCCTTGGCTGGTCCTTTGGCGGTAACGTGGCTCATAGCATGGCGGTGGAGCTTGAGAAGGTGGGGGAGAAAGTTAACATGCTAGCCTTGATGGACTCGGCTCCAACCAACAGCAAGGCCATGGAGGCGGCCATCAGTGATATCAATGAAGAGCACATCTTTCTCGCTTCATGCACAGGGAGACGATAGATGAGGGAAAAGAGATCTGGAATTTGATAGAGGCGGTTGGACTGAACAACTCCAAGCTCCGTAGTGAATACGCAACATCGACCTACAGTGGCGACATGTTCTTCTTCCGCGCGACGGCCGGTTTCGATGATACTGGGGCAGTGGTGGACCCTGAAGAATGGATGCCTTATGTTCAGGGTAACATTGAGGCTCACGGAGTGGAATGCGGTCATATGGAGATGGACAAGCCTGGCCCAATGGCTGACATCGGTCGCGCTATAGCTGCGAGGTTTGAGAAGCTGCAGCAGTAACGGATATCCTAGACACGGTCGTTTATTGCTCATGCATACAGACATACAGCTAGACTATAAATTCGTGTGTTATCTTCTTTCATTGACATAAAATGCGAAAAATCCAGAAACTGCCCATGAAATATATTCTGCTCTTGCACCGTGAATGTCTACTATCTTCTTTTCATTCGCCAACGACGTCCCCGCATGCAAAGAGTTCACCCTTCACGTTCAACTATCCATGTCCACAGATGACTCCATCGATGCACCTCGTGAGCATCTGGCTCAAATGGATGAAGAGCTGGCTCGTCTTCAAGAACGCAACATTACTAACAGAGATCCTCAGATCGCAAATCAACGCCCTAGCACTGTCTTTTACCCCTCCGAAGCTGAGGCCGGTCAGTACCCTCCAATCAAGCCTAATGACCTCCTCTCTCCCAGGAGGCAACAGCCAGCATGGACAAAGTGTCAGATTTGTTGACCAGAGGAGCAATAGAATTCGCGAGTGGATCCGGCTTTACAAGTTCAATGTTCATTATCCCCAAGAAGACAGGGAACTTTCAACCGGTCCTCAACCTACGAGCACTGAACCAATTCCTGTCCACACGGCACTTCAAAATTGGAAACTATTCAACACGTTTGCCATTTAATAAACCTAAACGATTATTGACATATATCAACCATTTCGGAGGACACGATTGCGAGAATTGATGAAACTGGCGATTACATTATGGGAATGGTGCCTCGAAGCGTGGGCATAAGAGAAAGTGAAAATGTCGGGGTTTGAGTAGAAGAATTGGGTAGTGAGAGGTGGAGCAGTGAAAGCGGCGGTATTGGTTTGATATTTGTGGACGTGTCGTTTTATTATCGTCTATGTGAGTATCGAGAGTTGGGCAGGGAACGCAGGGCTTTGAATTCTATGAGGATACGAGGACAGCAGAGATCGGGCGTAATGTGCTTAAGGTGTTGTAGAGGAATGCGCTGGCGCGCGCATGACTGGAAGGGAAGAAGGAATGCGAGCTAAGGGGCATGAATTGTTACCGAGGCTCTTTTATACTTTTGGTGGTGGTCGTCCTCTGGATCTTATTTGTGGCCGTTGTACTTTTAGAAAGTAGACATAATTCACGACTCCATTTGGACTGTAATAAAGACGCTGAATATTTGGTGGCGACGTTTAACCACTGGCAATCTTCGAAACCACTACACCATGCAATCTATACATGTATTCATACATTGCGGAAGAAAGCTATGCGGTTGATAGGGCATTCTTTTTTCTTCATTTCAGTTGCTCCTCGCGCTCCAGCACTTCCTTATCCAACTTAATAAGAATAGTCGTCCGCAGCGGGTATCCGTCTATTGGCACCGTATGTGCTGTCACCCGCGATGGCTATTCATAACCAAACAAATATCAGGAGCGTAGTGACCAATTAGTATTTTATCCATATTCTGTGCTTCGTTGCTAATAACGCCCATCAATCCCCAAAAAATGGAACAAAAAAAAATACAGTTCACACTTACAAACTGGCATCCATCCATGATGGCCTCGACAATTCCGGCCATGAAGGCTCCACAGTTCAGTTGCGACACATCCTTGGGCACAGAAATGAATTTCGACACCATTGGATCATTATCTGAGATCATATCTATTTTGAATCGCAACAATAGCAGTTAGCAAAAGACCGGAACGTTCTATAACGATCATAAACCACCCCACCAGATCTCAATGCCTTCGATAAATCTCTTTGTCAAACCGGGGACTCGTAAAAAAAAAAAAAAAAAAAAAAAAAAAAAACGTACATTCGTCCTCATTCTCAGTACTCTTCTCCAGCGAATCCGCCTGCTTTCCAAACATCGTTTTCCACACCGTCGTGTGGATGAAATACAACATCCCGAGCACCCTGGTCTCACGTTTGCTGTTCTTGTCCCGCCAGACCAACAGATCCAATGCCCGAATGCCCACTCTGTATCCCAGTTCGTTCAACCTATCAAGTAGAGCAATAATATCCGATGTGGTTCCTCGTTAGGATTAAGTCGGTCCAGGTGTATGTGGTGTGAGATTCAATGTCCACCAAATCACATAATTTGCTAACAGTCGGTTAGGGTTCCCGTACTTTCTCTCCAGGTCCTGGATTCCATGGACGCGTTTCTGGGTGTACTGGAGCATCTCTGAGAACAAAAAGGCGAATGCGTTAACGCTGACCTATGGAGGTATTGAAATGTAGGGAAAGGTCATAGGACTCTGGTTTAGACTCATGCCATACCATAGCGCTCTCTAGTCTCAACCCTTCGATAACAGCTCGCTCTTTGCCAAAACAGCAGCACTTCATGCCATCAAGTGGTTGCTGGCTGTTTCCAATTCTATTTTTCAAAGAAGCACATATCGCAGCCGATTCCGTCCCAAGTATAGCCAATTCCGTCTCAGGTGCAGCCAATTCCGTCCCAGGTGCAGCCAACTGCTTGGGCGCATCTCCCTTACCTCCGCACCCCGCGTCTTGTTCAGATGACGCTCCAGAATGTTGGTCGTAGCGCGCTTCGAGTAGATGGATGAGGCTGCAGATGAGTATGCGCCAACGCTTGGCAGCGATGCTGCCATGCTCATCACCGACAGTCTTGACGTTGCTGATGGAGTGCTTGACATTGCCTATTGTTGGACGACGACGGTGAGTGTGAGGAGGGAGGACGATGAGCGTGAGGGTCTGGTGTTGGATAGCAACCTGAATGTATCACGTGCAATGTCCTCCGAAGATCTGCTCAACAAAAGTCAAAAGGGTGTTCAAAGGCGCTTCTTCACGAATCTTTATGAATATCTGCATTATGTATGTAGTCTTGATGATGATGATGATGACGATGATGGTTTTTGTTACAGTAAATAAATGACGATAAAGAACTAATACTGGCTCACAAGTTGGGGCTCGAGTCCATGCTTGCGTCCGTAGTACATCACTTGATTCCTCTCCAAATACATCCTCACGCTCTGGCTGAGCTCGACCATCCTGCTCTCCGCCTCCGTCCTCGGAATCTCCGCCGCTTCAATACCCATGCCCGATCCCCCATATCGACCCATGGATCCTCCCGAGACCGACCCTGAGCCCGACACCAATGGTGAGATTGATGCCGCCAGCATTAACTCGTCTTCAAAATTTGTCACCCCGCGCATCTGGAAGCACCGCAGGACCGTATTCCGTTGAACACTGCTCTCCATCACAGTCATCCATTCTGCCGCATTGTTCCAGTTGTTCTCCTGTTCAGCCGCGTTGTTAGCGGGCTGATATGCACACGACCAGAAGGACCATGGGAGCCGGATCTTGAGGTCCTGCAACGTCGTATTAGAGTCAATACTCTGACACAGACTGTGGAAGCACAAGAGTGCGTAGTTGGGATCCTGCGGCGAGACACAGATAACGTTGTCGACCGTCAGGGAGACCAGAGATTTGTTTAGGTTCACGATCTGCGAGACCACGCCGAGCGATAGCTTCGAAAAGCTGAGATGGGTCAAGGACGGGTGAAGGCCCATCAACTGGACGACCTCATAGTCTATCGACCCTGGAAGGAGATTGGAATTGATGTCCTGGCTCAGATAGATCTTACGAAGCGGCGATGCCGAGGCATTTTTGGAGACACAGTTCATGAGCGCCATCAAACCAGGCTTGGAGATCTGGTTGGCGGACAGGTTGATGTTGTAAAGTGCACCGATGCCATTAGGACCATCAATGTTACGGCTCAAAAGCTTAGCAGCCTCATCGCAGAAACCCGTGTTGGCTAATTGGAGTGAGATCAGGTTCTTCTGTTTGGTGGCGTGCGAGGACTGTGGCCAGATCGCGTTGAGGAGACTGAGACAGCCTGAGGTACCGATACTGGGGTTATCGGACAGATCGATGAACCTAAGATCCAACGAAGTTGGCAAGACTAGGTTCGACAGTTCCTTGACGCCTTCTGCGTCCAGCTTATTGTTCGAGAGATCGAGCTTGGTCAATCGACGGAGGTTCTTGTGGGCGGAGCAGAGAATCTTGACGCCTGTGCTCGTCATCTGAGCCCTGGTGAGGACAAGGTGCTCCATGTCCGAGTTATCGGTGATCAGCTTTTTCATGTTGGTTACGGCCTTGTCATTGTCAAGTAGGACGCCGTCAAAATTGAGATACTTGGCGTGATGCAGGAACCCGGGCAGCTTCTCTCGGAGGAGGAAGGGAAGGCCGCTTAACTTGACAAACTCGAGCTGGAAGCAGGTAAAGAGTCGACGCACATGCAGATAGATGTTATCCTTGTCCATCAGCTCCGAGTCGCGAGCCTGGTTGGCGTTGATCTCGATCATAGTCAAATGTGCCTCCGCCAGGACCTTGGTCAAGTTCTGGATCAATTTCTGATTGGCAGAAAAGACCGCGGCGACCTTGCGTTCTGGCTGCTCAAAGTACGAGGGCGACATGTGGACGACGGCGTGCTTGATGCGACTCTGGCCCCTGATCATCTGTGAGTACACATCGATCGCCGCTGCGTTCAGAAGATGTGCCTCGCTCTTGACGCCACTCTTTTCTGGATAGTTCATCAGATCATCCAGGCTCGCTTGCTCGTCGTTCCACTCGTAACGACCTGACTGGAGCCCAGAGAAACAGTCTTGGCAAACCCACATGGGACGACCGGTTCCTGGGGAAATCATCCTCTGCAGTCCACCTGACCAATCGGCCGCAAGATTTGAACCAGTGACTTCGCGCATGAGTCGTGCAATGCTCTCCAGCTGCAAATGCTCAGTCATGAACTTTTCGATCTGTAGGCTCGTTCCATCGACAGCGGTATTCAGCTCGATAGTATCCCTCATCGCTGGCACTCGAGTCGTCGGCTTGACCGTCTTCAAAAACTTTTCTGCGTGTTTGAGAATACTCTTTCCAAAGCCAGGCTCGCTCGCTCCGGAAACGAGACAGGCAAGGTTGGCCATATGCTGCAAGACGGTACCATGGGTCTTCATCATTTGCTCAGAGTTATTAACGATGTAGCCCTGGTGTTCTGGGAAGTGGATTGGGTGCTCCTTTTGATGGTCACGGACCCCAAGGGCCTGGCAGGGTGCCAGGATTCGGAAGGGCGTATATTGTCCCGAAGAAGAGGACGAGGCAATGGGTGCAGCAACAATGTAGACCCGAGGCATGTCCTCGAACGTGAGCGACGCTAGCACTTCGGCCGTTTTGAAATCCATAACGGCCTTCGAAGGAAACGGTATTGTGACTCTGCTAATGACACTCGCGCGACGCTGAACTGACGATGAGGCCTATAGACATGTGCACAAAGAAATAATAATGTTAAGAATAGGAGTATAGAAGCATAAAAGCATAGCAGTTGTTTACATGAAGTGCTCAATCTTTTTTAAATTTTTGTGATAGCGGACACAAAACACGAGAATTAGTGTGCGAGGCACAACGGCGAACTGCTTACCGAACCATTAGTGGGAACGCGTGCGAGCTCTGTATGCCCGAGTGAGGCAACTGAGGGCGCCAAGGAGAGGCTGGAAAGCGATGCATGCAGACTGAATGCTGTCGTGTCAATGTTTTGGGACAGACTAGTCTGTGAACGCATGGGCGCTGCAGGACTCGTTGGCGAGTTGGGTGCAATAAAGGGCTGGTGCTGTGAGTGATATCTCTGTGGCGGTACTGGAAAGGACACTTGAGCCACTAAAGGAGCCGAGTGAGGCTGCTGTTGCTGCTGTTGTTGTGCATGGAATTCCGGGTATATCTGAGCAAAGGCTACATCAGAGATTGGAGGAGGTTGAGGAAGTGGGGCACTGGGTGGAGGAGGCAGATGTTCAGACTCTTGTGACTGAGAGACCGGAATGGGTTGCGAGAAGTAGTGCTGTTGCTGTAGAGGAGTAGCGGATGTGTGTGTCTGGTACTGCTGTGCGATCGGCAACTGCTGTGTATGGTGAGCCGTTGTTGGAGGGCTCGGATATGGGTTATAGCCGGGATATGCTCCGCTAGGGTGTCCACCACTGGCCATTTTGGGGTCGTGCTGATAGGCAGGAGGCGCCGGGTCCGTAGATCGCTGCTCGGACTCGAGCGTGTGCAAGAGATGGCCCTTCGGAGGATCGCGCTGTCAAAAAGTCGAGAGAATCACGACGCGGTTAGCTAAGGCTTGGCATTCATTCGGCAAAAGCCGCTCGTACTTTGAGCACCGTATTCACCCTCACCTCGGGCGGCGAAAAGTAGGTCTGTGGACCCCTCGTGCGAGGGGCGGCTGTGCTAGAAGACGACAAGTGGGACTCCGCATAGGGTGGCATGGCCATTGGGCTCTGCGAACGCGAGGGGTGTTGCAAATCGTTGTTTGAATTCATTTTGGGCGGAGCATAGTACGCGGGGTAAGGAATGTTGGCGGAGGACTGCATAGGGAGGACTTGGTCGGAGATGAGAAAAAGAGAGTGGACGTCAAGAAGAGAAGAAGTGGAAGTGTGCGAGCGACCGACCGACGAAGGAGCCGCTTCTTTTAAAGAGACTAGGCAGGATATGGGGAAGTGTAACAGAAACAAACAAAAAACAAAAAAGGCGATAGAAAGATGGCAGCTGGGGAGAAAAGAGTGAAAGAGAGAGTGAGAGAGTGAGAGAGAGAGAGAGGACGAGAGAGAGAAAGAAAGGGAGAGAGGAAGAAAGGGAGAGAGAGGGAGAGAAAGAGAGAGAGAGAGAGAGAGATAATTGTTTGTCCAAGTATCCAAGTATATGCGTATATGAGAAAGTGAGAATAAGTGTAAACACAACAAAACGGTGAAACGGACGGAAGGATGGGCAGATGGATAAGAGTGATAAAGCTAAAGGAAGATAGGATGGAGGAGAAGAAGAAGAAGGAGCAGAAGAGTTGGGTTTAATACAAGAGTCGAGCACACAAACAAAGCTGCAGATACCCGCGTGCGTGTACAACTGACAGAAAGACGAGAGCGCCCCAGGGGACCAAACAAAAAGATTTTCTTGTCAAGAGGTCTGGCCCGGCTTACTCCAGGGTCTGCAGCTGCGGCTGCAACTGCAACTGCAACGCACAAAAAGGGTTATGTATTCAGTAGTCTCAATAGCCTCTTTAATGTTTCTGCAGGTGGGTGAGTGGTGCTGTATCATAGCTATCTTCCTCCCACTTTCTCAACGACAAAGCCTGTTTATCGGCCCCCTGCCACTGCTGCAGTTTGTGTTGTGTTGATATGCCCTCGTCGCCTTAGTTCTTCATACGTATGACATAGTACCATGAAGAGCACCACAGGTTCTTTTTGCTATCTGCTATCTGGCCATAATCACGACATAGAGCCAAAGTTCATATGGTCGCTTTCTAGAGGATTCAGTCAGGATGATCCAAAAAAAAAAAATTAACGAGAGCATCAGGACACAGGGGGACAGCCAGTGAGAGCTGCCCTCTCAGTCTCTGCGATCGCAAGGCTTGTTGTATGAAACGACTGTAGGTGTCGACAACGAGAGCACATACCCCAGTACAGATTCCAAATGAGCAAAGACGTAAAAATGTCGAGCAACAAGGGCCAATCGAGCTTAGGGTTCACTGTCAGGTGCATCCCTTGCGCTGGTTGGTCGGCCGCTGTCTTTTGTGGACGTGTGTCCTGTCTGGTCTAGGCTATATACCTGGAACCAGGGCCCAATTACAATCAGGATTCCACCTGGCTACATGCAGAGTCAGATGCTTGGAAATATGAGGATGGTTACTCCCAACAGACGTCAGTTCTTTACCTCGCTTTGTATTAAACACTCATTGGGTACCAGCGGTTGGCAGTGATTTTGAAGAACGACTTGTACTCTCGGCTTTTATGGTGTGCCTATGTTTTGCAAGACATCGCAAGGCGTCCCGCCGTTTCTATGGTCGATACTCATACCTCTCACAATGATAAACAACAAACATCAGTTTTTCCCGCTTCCCACACAGCACAAAAAGCACCCAAACTGGCTGGCTATGGAAACGCATGTAGTACGTGTACATAGCATGGCTACATGAACATATGAATATGGAGATAGACACGAACATGGACGCTTGCCCTCCACTGCAGCAGCTGCAGTCTTTCTTACGGCATGCACACCAGCTGACTCGGTGTATTATAATATACAAACATGCGCTCAAGCAACAACAATGTTGGTACTTGCAACAAACAAGATCTATGAAGGCCGCATTACTAGTCCATCATCATTAACAGCAACAGTAGCCGGAGCATTTGCTGCATCGACGCCCATCACTAAGTACTGTACGACATGTCTCTCTAAACAGCCAGAGTTCTTCCCGCCTGGTACTCTTCATCATGTAAATACAACAAACAAACCTCATCTGCTCTTTCCTTTCTTTGGATTACTCGATCGGCATCTGCCTTTGATCTTTTTTTTTTTTTTTTTTTTTTTTAGGAGCCATGAATTTCAGCAAGTGCGAAGGAGGCATATCTTCAGTGGGCAGCCTTCTATATACGTCAACAAAATCACATAAAGTCTCGGGTACTTGCCAAGGTGAAAGAAAATAGGGATAAAAATTGCTCTGCCAATGTCTATATCAACCAAATACATTGGTTAGAATACGACGTTTTGCTAAGCGGTTAATTTGTTCTCCAGCGTAGAGCACTCTTCGAGTCGTTGCCTTTTAATATGCGAAGGGATCTAGATGCGCAACTCGTGTTTATTCTGACCCAAATATCTCTTGCTTTGCTTCGTTTATCCTGTAGACACACTGCTCGTTGGATGCACTTCGCCTTTTGGCCCTCTATAAGGGATGGTCTGATCGCTCATTAGCCTGTTGGGCCGATAACCCGCTTTTCCACCATTAAATGAAGACGTCGTCGAGTGTTTTGGTCGTCATCGTATTCTGGGGAGGAGGGAGGGAGATGCCCAGGCCCTACCAGGCAGTATATCTACGCGGACTGGGGCAGGACATAAGACGAAACCATGGCCTGAAGTAGCGCCCTGCGATTGTCAGGCTCCTTTGTATCTCAAAAACCGGTTCTCCATCGTTGTGCAACCTGAACGAAGTGATTTTCGATGGAACGGAACCTTGTGGCTAAAACACAAATAAAAAAAAAAATAAAAAAAAAAAAAGATGGGATGAGTGCATCCTTGGTAGAGTATCTGCCACTGAACGCCTATGCTCTACTAATTCGATTTTTTCTTCAAGCTGCGGAAACAGAATGGATACGCAAGGCGGTTGACGTGTAACTCTACCACAGCTTTATTATGCGTCTCCGCCATGGTCCAAAACGCACACAACTTTCATGTGAATAGAAAGAAACATGCACGATAGTTTTATTATCTGTAGAAACCAAAGTATCTCCTCTACATACCTCTGCTGCATAAACCTTGTATTCGCCCTCATCTTAGCTGCAATGTGAGACGGGATTAAATGTGGAACCAAACAGTAGCGCGTCCTGTCTGTCGACTATAGTTCACATTGAGCAGTCTTATACACCTCATCATCGATCTTAAATTCGGCGTACCTTATTGCATTTAAAGCCTTGCAGACGGAGCATACGTGGAAGTTAAAAACGACTCTAGTTTACGTGCGCAATTGGTCAACGTACTGAATTGCTTTACGCAGGGAACCAATCGTGAATCAATGTTTATACATCTTTTGGTCGTAAGTACCCTCAAAATGACATGATAACTCTGCCAGAACCATTCAGGACAGGAATATGTTTCAAAGGTGCAGGGCACAGCATTCCTAGTGTGATTGGTACAGTCCAGCGCATGGATTCGAAACCAAGCTTCTCATCGAGGGAAGACGCGCGCGCGGTATTGTTAGAAGTCTATCCAATTACGGCAAAGCGGAGCCAGATGACCTCCTCCAAAGGCATTGGAAGAGATTGTAAGAGGTGCGTATTGGTTGAATGGTTGACTATTGATCATAGGCCAAAGCCCAGAGCCAGTCTGTGCATTCGATTCGGGCGATGAGACAACAGCTCTTCGCGCTTTTCAAGTTTAGCTTCGAAACTGTCTCGGTCCTGCAGCAGCTGTGCTATTCGAAAATTAACGCCCCGGCAGCATTCTTTGCCTATGCAATGGCCGCCCATAGGACAGGTAGGCATAGCTCATTTCAGCTCATGTTTCACAAACGTCTTAAATGGTTCAACCCCCCATGGGCTATCTGATCCCACCACGCACAAGGCTCTGTTGCAAGACAGGGCTCAATTCTCGAACATGGCCATCGTCTTCATCTCCCTGTTCCTTTGACGCCTGTTCGTATCCTTTTTTTTTTTTTGCTCTTTGTGAACGTCGTTTTTATATTACACTCTAGTTCTGATACTATCTGCAGCCTCTACTGATATTCACAACATTGTCCGCCTTCATTTGATTTCGCCAATGTCTTTCTATCCCTATTCTGCCTCGCCACTGTCCCATAGATCACACATACTGCATATTCTCTGCATACAAGGAGAATCAAAGACTTTATATCCTCGGCGGGATGCGTACAGACGCTGCAGGTAATGCAATTGATTCTGTCTTTCGAAACTCTCATGACCGATCTGTCACCTTCATAGAACGCGACCGCTCAAGCCCTCAATCCACTCGATGCCTGGAGCCAGCAATTTAGGGGGAGTGTTCTAATAGCGCGAGGACCTCAGGACATGGTTACTTACAGCCTGAAGTCTGGATGGATAAACGAACCTAGGAGCTGGATCAAAATGACTCTTGCTCCACACTGTGAACCTTACCTTGCGCCAGCTTACGGAGATAAGAAAGTGGTCGAGGTCGGGGGATCTAATTTTTATGTGACCTGCCACAGCGTTGGGAATATCTATACCTTGGACGTTGCAGCGTTGACATGGTCCAAAGGACCAGATACCAAGCTGAAGAATCCAAGATAGGCAGCTGTGTGTATGTGTGTGCAGTCTCGAACGGATATTTCATATTGTAGGGTTCTGTGGATATGATTTAAGATTTACGGCGCAATCCTAGCATCCTAGCAGCCGCGCTTGGGAATAGCTACATCAGCTCCTATATCTCCACAGCGTCGGACGCTGCCTCAACCAACGCAACCGTCTATGTTACATCGGCCGCTTCCTCTCTTACATACTCGACCGCCATCATCACCTCGATTGCATCTACCACCTATGTCACCGTCTCGACCCCCGCGTTGACCTTATCGTACCCCACTCGTCTTCCTTTAATCCTTGGAGCCCTCCTAAGAGTAGCCCTCATTTTTAGCTTTCCAAAGCCATTCGACGCATATTGAAATTATACGCGTCCGCTGAGAAACAGCTTGTTTTCATGAGCCGCGCTCATCCAAAGAAGATCACCAAGTCCAACACACTCTAGTGAACAGTGCCAGCTTCACGCGCTCCAAGTCGCTACCTCACCTTGCACCGGACACGCGTAGTGGTTGCTAGTCATGCCCGTTATGGGTCCGCACTAGTGTATATAGATTTTTGAAGCAATGGCTCAGTAGGACATTTGACATGTAACTCATATGTCTTTTGTTTCGCGCGCCGATTGTTGTAGGAAAGCGTTTGCCGATAATGAGCTAGACATAAAAAAAAAAAAAAAAAGGCTGGGCAGAGGTACAGTTATGAAAGTAGTGGCAATGAAGGATGATCGACCAATGTTAAGTATGGGGCGGATTAGAACAAAAGAGCTACAGAGGATCATGTAACGCCATCCTTCCTTTGTTTGGGAAGGATTGGAGAGAAGCCTTGGATGCGAAAAGATTTTACGACTGGCACAAAGAATGCTTTCTCTCTTTGGGAAGGTTTAGGAAGGATGCCAAGGCCATGATGAGTTCAAACTAAACCTTGACTGGTCCCTCAAGAGACGTCCTTTTTTTTTTACTTTGCAAGTGGGTATTATCAAGTAGAGCTGGGTCCTCTGACCAAAAAATGCAGGTATTGTTGATATGGATGGTAGCCATCGCCTCTTTGAAGGGACCCCGCAGTCAGTTCAACAGTCGAAACTTGGTGCCGAGAATTATTTTTTGTCCTCGGACATGGAAAAGACCCTTCCGGCTGCATGTATGGGCGTAGCACAGAAAACGGCGCTAAATGGGTCACTGACAAAGCTGAGGGAATTGTAACTATTTATTTTTTCAACTTCTGCCAAGCGCGACCTTTTCTCCGCCTTGGCTAAGATCTCGCTCTCGCTCTCGCTCCCAGAGCGCGTCATGAGAAACGAGATATGATTTGACGATCTCTTCCCCTCACTCCTCCTACTCTCTTCTATCCCTCTTGGCTAGGAAGCCTGTATAAAACCCCTGGCCCCGTCCTTTTTTCATCCTAGCAAATTACAACAAGCCGGATCAAAAGAAAGAACAAAGTTACAAAGAACAACAGCACCATGGACGGTTTCAGACGCTCGAATTTCAATTACCCATTATCTGCTGCAACCCTCAGCAAGGTCGAGTCCACACGATGGTCCCCCAGGGGCAAGCTGGTCCGAGATTCTGCCACACAGACGGATTTCGTTGAGGATTTGAGCTCATCAATCCAGGAGGACGAGGCTGCAGCCGGATCTCCGAATATCGACAAGACGCCGAATCCGATGGAGGGCGTTACGCTTACAACAGCCGCTCAAGAACAGTCGCACAAAGGCTCCGGAACAATTGTGCAATGAATAATAAAAAAATTAAGAAAAAAAAAAACACAGCTTCAAAAGTCCACGACAGCCGAATATCATTTATTGTTCAATTGAACGCAATAGAATGCAATGAGATGCATCGCATGCTTCAGATAATGGAATAATGGATGCCTCCAAACAAGCGGAAACGATGAAATTGATTTAATACTGGACTGCACGAGTGGCGAAGCAGATGGGTGGCCCGGTTCATTCATGCGTCCAGAATTCCAAAAGTCGTCCTCTTGGTCAAAGACCTCCTCTCACTTAATCGGCTCCTGCACCTTGTCGAGTCGATCGCTGGGGGGATGGTATGGCCTGTTCTTTTATGCGCTGCCACTAGCGTCATCTCTACAAGGTTCACCAAATCCTGATGTCCGACTAGCGACCAGTAGTTTGCCAAGTCAAATCCATCCACGCCCATGTCGACAGAGATATGCTCGTTGCGGAAAAAGAACACCACGTTACAGGGATCATTCAATCCGTAGAGTCTATTGAAGTCCGTGAGCTGGGTGATATCGACCTTATAGACAATCGCGAGGGATTGGATCTTTCCAGAGACAGAGCCGAAGAGCTCGTCTACTTGTGTGCATAGTGGGTCGCTGTTGTTGCCAAAGCGAATAATGACTAGGCGGTCATATTCTGAGCGGATGGCCTGGTCGACTTGACGAGCGGTTTTGAGGTGTAGGAGAGGTGTAGACATTTGTTGTTGGATATCCTTGAATGTGAAGTGCTGTAAGAAGAGGAAACTGTGGATTTTGTTTGGTGGTAGGAACAGAACGGAAGAGCTGTTTGCACCGCTTTGCATTGCTGTCGAAACATTGATTGTATTTGCATTGCGCCCGTAATCGCTCAGCAGATATGGTACAACTGGAAAGGAGGGGGGTTCTTTATTTGGCGTCCTGGTGCATAGTCGTAAAAACAAAGCGAGTCCATCCCAGGGAGGAAAAAAGAAAAAGAAAGAAAGAGTCGCTTCGTCCGCCGCAGCTTCCTCTTAGTACTTGTACTTTGTCGAGTAGTCTTTTGGCGAGACGACCAGACCCCTTCCCTTCCTTGCGCCTCTGAACACAGTTTCTACAATATCAATGAGCTCCTGTTTGCTGTCGAGCGCCCAGTTGATCTTGTTGTTGTTTCCTGTACCGAGATCAACCATGATGTGCTTGTTGCGGAAAAAGAACATGGTCGTGCAGGGGTCGTAGAGTTCGTACATCTTGTTGAAGTCCGGTACTTCAGTGATATCGACCAGGTAGATGACTGCAAAGTTCTTGATCTTTTCGGCGACGGAATAGAGGAGTTCATCCATTTGCATGCATGTTGGATCCCAGTCGGTGCCGAACCGGATAACGACTACGCGATCTTCCTCTGAGAGGATGGCTTGATCGACTTGCCAGCCGTTCGTAAGATGTGGAAGGAAATATGACTATCGCGGTGGAATAATAAAAAAAAAGATGTGTTAGAGACCATACACACCGGCTTGAATGAAAGACAAGAGGATGTGATGATAATGGCCCAATAGGCAGGCTGCTACTTACCATAATGAAAGATTATATAGTACAGAGGTCTTGGTTTTCTTTTGCTGGAGGGAGCAAATGGAAGCAATGAGCGAAGAAGGTAATGGAATGGGAGAGCAACAGAAAAGACCTGGATCAGTCTTAAGAACGTGGCTTACTTATACCCAGGCAATGACTGCCTGCGATTGGTCGCAAAATCTCTCTGGGCCCTGGCAGGCATCCTTGGGGAAAACGAATAAAGACGATTATCATCTCACTCATTCTTCCTTCAACGCCGCTCCCGTCTTCTCCACTCCCCCACTTCCTTTCCTCTTCTCCTCTGGACACTTCTTTCCTGGAGGAATTCTCCTTTGTCAGGCTGTCCACTCCTTCGTCCCTTTCCTTTTGTGTCATACTCTCACTCTCATCTGGACGAGGACGCTTGAACAGAACGATGAAAAGAAGTACTAGTGGGAACGGACTCCCGCTCCACTCTTCAGGCAACATCAGGCGGCAAGGATCCTCCGGTCTACTCTCACAGCTCCGCCGCATTAGCCCTGGAAGGCTCTTCATCCTAATTGGTCTCTGCATCATCTCCCTCCTTGCCGTCTTTCGTATCTCTGGCTCGAACAGCACCCCTCACACCTCTATTGAGCAGTCCGAGCACGAGTCCAGGAGCGAAGCAGAGCGAGAGCTGATAGTCAAGCAGATCCTTGAGACCAGACAGTCAGCTTATAGCTTTGATGACTTTACGGAGGAAGCATTGGTCCTGGAGGAGAATGCCCACCTCTTGCCGGCGACCGCTATCTTGTTGGGCTGGAAGCGTCTGGAGGGTCTGAAGTTGATTGTCAGATATCTGGCAAGATATCCTTACATTAAGGAGATCATCATCTGGAACAACAACAAGGAGAACAAACTGTCTAAACGCGACTTTGAGCTCGACCCCAGCTTTGGCCCCTTACCAGAGCTGCAGATATACAATGGCAAGGAGAACCTGCACGACTTTGCAAAATACATGTCGTGCTCGTTGGCGAAATATCAGCATTGCTACTTTCAGGACGACGATTGGCTGAACACACACATGGATGCGCTCTATACCAACTTTTTGACGAGCCCCAATCTCATCCACACCAACACCTTGCCATTAATTCATATGGAGCATCGTCGATGGACCTTTACGAATGAAGGTGAGTTACTCTTGTCGGGAAATGGATCGCTGGGCTCATTCCATCTTTTGCGTTGTTTCACCATGGAGTGTGGCCCATGCTCACGCTTGCATACCTTCATATCTGAGACTGAAGGCTTTTTTCTCCTGTTGCCACTTTTTTTTTTTTTTTTTTTTTTTTATATTGTGCCATGTGTATCCATAGATCGTAGGATGCATGCTGGATTTTCGTGGATGGGCACTGGATCTTATCTTCCCAGAGAGAAGGCACAGCGGTTACTGGAACAGGGCGGAAACAGCAATCTGGCCAAGGACAGGTTGAGAGTCATTGACATGTACTTCTCTATCTGGACCAACCAGTACCCCTACCAGCTTGTGAACTATCTCACGCCGCTCGACCAGAAGAACGGATGGAGCACGGATGGAGTCAGCGACCACTGGGCCATTGTCTTCAGGAACATGGTTCGTGAAAGATCTCCTTTGATCCTTGTTGGTACTCTTGGCTCACCAATTCTGATCACTGGTTACATTTGACTTCGTTCTTCCCCGATAGCTTGATGCCGCTGATCGCCTCTATTCTGCACTGGTTGCGAACCCAGAGGTGTCAGAAAAGGACTACTTCCCTCGGGAAGAGGAGCTTCCTTATATCAAGGACCGTCATGCTAGGTTTGTACTCCACTCGACTGCTACGAGTATTGACAGGAGATCTCTCAGAGACGGCTTGGTTAACATTTTACAATATATTTCATTTTAGATCACCATGTTACAACGACAAATGCTTGTTTATGACCAGTATGGACCCATTCCCAAATCCTAAGGATGTTGTATTTAGTGGCGACCTGCAGACGATTGATGAACAGAATCAAAAGTTCTTTGCACTGGAGTATCCCAGCAACGAGTTCATCAGCAAGTTCGCCTATATCCACGCGGTCGATAATGATCCCCTGACTTGCTGGAATAGCTTCAAACGTGAGTCATTAGAAGCGATGTGTAAAATGCATCAGAACTGTGTCCCGGAGAACCAACTCATTCGATTTCTTTCTTTTTCTTTCTTCTTCTAGTCCCACAAACAGGCGAGTCGTTCGGACTCCAATTTGTGAAGGCGACACCGCTGAGGAAGTTCACGGTGACATCTTCAAAATCATTAGCCCATCTGGACGGCAAGTTCACGGTGATGGTCTCTGACCAAGCAGGCACCGAATGGACAACGTGTCGCCACTCCACACGATTCCCATTCGCACACACCATGACGTTGGATATCTCTTGCCCATCTGCACCTAACCTGCCCAGAGGACTGGTCCATAATGTCAGGATACAGTTTGATCAGCCCCTAGAAAAGTCACTGGAAGTGTGTGGCATGGATGTAGGCGGCATGGCTGTTTGAAAAGGGAAAGGCAGACAAATATAGGCGGATCATGGGTGGAGTGAGAGGATGATAGGTAAATAGACTGGGTCATGATTTGAAAACGACTCGATAACATATTCTAATGAAACTACGGAGAGATGTATGGACTCTTCAGATGATGTGATGTCAATGACAGTTACTGAGACAAGAAAAACACTGCTATTGACAGGAGGAATCATGATCGTATGTCTGGGAGTAGAAGATGGTCGTTTCTACGCGCGCAGGTGTTAGCGCGTCGTGTCTAGAATGTATCGAGTGCGAATGGATCAGCAACGTGGCCCGAAGAAAGAGATGTCATTGGCGACAAAACAAATGTCCAAGTTAGATGACATTGAGGGGAAGATAGGATAGACGAGGATGAGCAGCAAGTATAGGTGGTATAGGTGGTTGAGGCGGATGTTGCTATGGTCTCAATCAACGCAGTATGGTATAGGTCCTATATAGCTTGGCAAAAACATAAAGGACGTGCGCATGGGATCCGAATGTGCGGAAGGGATAGCCATCCCAAAAATAGGAAGGTCACATCTTTCATTTCATTCGATAGTTTAAAACCATCTCGCTAAGAGGCTAATATATTTATCTGAGACCTCATTCATTCCCACATTTCAACTGCACTGCAACCCCCTTTCACAACTCATTCGCTGCCATCTGATGTCTTCGGACTGACCCATTCCTCATCTTCTTTTTTTTTATCTCTTTTGGAATATGCAAGGGCTCTCATCAATAACGGCTTATCAATGTAGCTCATCCAACATTAAAGGGACTGCAGCAATATAAAAAAGCATCCAAGGCCGTTTGTGCACACATCTCTTCTGCTTAGTGTTCATATAATATCCGTCTCCTTCCTTCCTTACTTTTCCCTTCACTTCACTTCACTTCACTTTATTTCACTTCCACTCGCTCTCTTCACTCTCCCTCCATTGCATTAACCAAACGTCCTTCCACACATAAACTATCATAATGAACACCAAAGGATACACCCTCAGTTACTACGTCTCCGGCCACGGTACGGCATTGTGTCGACTGATCTGACCATGGTTAACAGGGTCAAGGGGATTCATTCCCTCTGAACCAATGGCTGTGCTTTGTCGACCGCTATTTATACAAACGCACACATCCATTAATCTTAACTTCGCTTATCTCCCATCTCGCCCTATTTCTGTTTCGATTTTTACTAAATATGCTGTTGTGCGGTGTTCATGCACCCTTCAGGATTCGGCCATGCGACTCGTGTCAACCAGATCATCACAGAACTCTTGAAAGAAAGACCAGCTACAGCAACCACAACGACAACCACAACGTCGACCGGAGACCTTGATTCAACAGCAGCAGAAGCAACGATGCCATCACGCCAAAAACACACGATCTACATTGTCTCGGACGCACCCCAATTTATCTTTCAGGATGTGATTGCGCTGGGAGCCATCTACAGAAACGCCAAGGTCGACGCAGGCGTCGTCCAACCATTGGTGCGTGTATCCCTATGATGTGTCTGTGCTTTTTTTTTTTTTTTTTTTTTTTTTTCATTGTTCCAGGAAGACATGAACTGGGATCGTGTTGGCGACGCTGGATTGTCTCTGTTGATGTTAAAACCAATCTGTCTAACCGTTATGTTTCTGTCCCCCCCTCCTTTCGTTTGTAACCACCCCCGATTTCATTTTCCTGCACCACTGCAATACAACACCCCCTCCCCCCCATCTAAACAGGCATACAGTGTAGATCGAGAAAAGACCATCGAGGGATGCAAGAACTTTTTGTCTAAACGCGAAGAAACGATTCAGCTCGAAGTCTCCTGGCTGGCCCAGGTCGGTGTTGACTGTGTCCTCGCAGACGCTCCTTTCTTGCCATGGTAAGTAAGCATCGCCATATCTCCCTTTTCTCTATTCGATTCTATTATCCTCCGCATTATAGTTTTTTTGTTTTTGTTTTTTTTTTTTTTTTTTTTTTGGGGGGGGGGAGGGGCCCATTGCAGCGGTCATCGTAAGCCATGTTGCATTTCGAGCGCACACAAGGCCATCCCACCATCAACTGTCTCTGTTAATTCATTGTTGAATGGCTCAGAACCGGCCTGCAGATTAAGAGGCAGGGAGCGAATTTGTTTAGCTCTCTCGGATATGAGCATCGCATATTTTTCCATAAGCCATTTCCATCGCACTCCTCTTTAAAGCCTTGAAGAGCATTTTCATTGAGCAGCTATCCCCAACCCGTGAATGAATGAATAACGTTAGCTAACGTTCATATTATACATTTTTATACTCATAAAGTGCGGCTGCGAGCGCATATGGCATCCCTGCGATTCTTATCACAAACTTCACATTCGATGAAGTATATCGGTTCCTGCGGGAGGGCGATGCACTTGACAAGGATGTGTTGGCATGTGCGGACGCTGCGCTGGAGGACTACAAAAAGGCGTCACTGTTACTCCGCCTGCCAGGATCGATCGATATACCGGCATTCGAGGATGAGATCTTGGCGATGGAATCTGGGGCGTTGACGACGTTATCGACTGGCAGTCAAACGAACGGAAGGAGTCCATCGATCTCGGATATGGATGATACGGAAGAGGATGTCCATCAACAATCAAGTGGCCAGCTACACACGTCGGCTATTGATATCGAGGTGCATTTTGCAGATAACAAGAACATGAAGGAGCATGGGCAGGAGCAGGAGCAAGAAAAAGAAAAGGAAGAGCTTTCGGAAACATCTATGGGCGACACGACACCTGCAGGCGTGATGTCGCCGGTTATTATGAGAACCGCGGCTTCGTCTCCGAATCCGTCGATCGTCAGCGGAGGCTTCAATTCTGGACCATTTTTGTCGTCATTGTTATCGCCATCGACGTGTTTGCCATCTCCGTCGAAGTTGCAGGCGGTCCCTCGTAGGGCCGTGGATGTGCCGCTGGTGGTCCGGATGGCGGTGAATAGTCGCGAGGACGTGCTGCGGTCGTTGGGCGTGGGTGAGGAGTTGATTAGGACCCATAAGGTGGTGTTGGTATCTTTTGGAGGACAAAGACTGAAGCAAGGATGGGGAAACCCGTTACCAGAGGGGTGGATTGGAGTGATTTGTGGGTTACCTGTGGAACATGAGTTACCGGAGGGGTTCTATAGGAGTCCACATGGTGTCTACGTGCCGGATCTGACCCAGGCTGCGGACATTGTTATTGGCAAACTGGTAAGTATCTCTTTTTTTTTTTTTTTTTTTTTTTTTTCTAGAGCATGGATAAGCACCATGAGCACCTGTTTTGAGGATAGTGATAGTTGCTAACGATTCTTTTTTAATTTGATAATAGGGCTATGGAACGTGTTCAGAGTGCATTGCTCATGACAAGCCGTTGATCTATGTTCCGCGTCCGCAGTTCATTGAGGAGCATGGACTTATCAACATGATGGTCAATCACGGATTGCCAGTCGAAATGACAGCGGGGGAGTTTGAAACGGGTCATTGGCAACGAGCGATCCTGGAGGCCGATCGACAGGCGAACGAGGAGAGGGAAGGTCGACGGCTGTTTATGGAGAGCTCTGAAGAAGATAATAACGCTAGTCAACTCAACAAGGTGATCCCAGAATTGTGCGTGAGCCCAATGACCCCAATGGCACCGGCGGTAGTGCCCCTTTCGATGGTTACCGAGGCTGAGGAACAGGAGCCGAGGATGTCTGGAACGCGTCGCCGATCGAGACGGTCGTCATCTGTGGCATCGCTTTCGGCGTTTAGACCTAAGGGGCCCAAAATGGCGCGTCTGTCGACGGCGGGGGTGTGGGGGAAGTATAGCTCGCCGGTCGAGAGAGGGGTGAGCGCCTTGCCGAGGATGATGGAAGAGGGAGGGTCGCCTAGGACCCCAGGATCAACGGTGTGGTTCGAACGAAGGATTCCGAATAATGGAGGGGAGGTGTGTGCACGCCTTGTGGAGGAGTTCATGGCGCAGGTAGAGGCATGTGAGGATGTTTGAGAGGATGTGTATCTTGAAGGTGCTGCTTCCGTATCATAGACGAAGTTGCCAAGATAGAGACCAAAAAGAACAATACACAATAATAGAAAAGCATCACTCGGATCTTTGGACTCAAATGTTTTATAGCTACTGGCGCTGGAAAAGAGGCAATGGTACTCTTTTAAATCGCATAGTGCGCATGATTTCCGATAGATGAGCGATGGAACCCTTGAATTAGCTCAATAGCGAAGAAACAAGCCAAAAATTGGAAATTCGGTCTGACAATGGTATTTTAGGCCTTAGATAACATATTATAACCGATGTCCTGGCGCTCAACTAGTACGACCGATCAGCCCTCCCGGATGAGTTGGTTCCCTTTTTGAAGCTGCTGATTTTTATTCAAGTTAGGATTGTTAGGATTTTTAGGATTTTTAGGGTTTTTTGAAGGAGTTTTATATTTCCTCCCGCTTTTTTCTCCTCTGGTCCTGCAGTAGAGAAATGAGAACGTAAAAGGTATGGCGAAACAATGGAGGGCTGAAGCCGGCTTTCTTTCATCCTTTTGCGAGAGTAAAGGTGGGCGCTTTGAGATGTTAATAGATTGGCCAAAAAAAGAAAGAAGGTGGCCCCTGCTCTCCTGCTCTCATTGTAATTTCGGAAGGAATGCGCACAGATGACGATGACCGATCGAGAGGATACGATATCACGTCAACAACATAGTATTCATCAGTGCGAGAAGCAGTATTGCTGTTCCTCTGTCATCGATGTGGATGTTTGGATGGAATGGTAATGTTTAATGATGAAAGGCGACCTGTGCAATAATTTGAGACCCATGGCAGCATGGCTCCATGTTGGAACCATTACTGGAGCCAAAAGAAAAAAGAGCAAATTACATTTTCTTATTTTTAGTCAGTTCAGCACTGATTTGCCACCAAAAAGGGGAACCAAAGGGCTACACCATCCCATTCCGAAGAAAGGTTAATCCTTTTGCTTTCTCAAAACGTCATTGTCCCTACATCACCTTTTCTTTCTATTCCATTCATTCACATTCATTCATTCCTTTGACATTCGCCAATCCGCCCCCACTCCACCTCTTTCGCTTTCTTGCGCTCACTCATTTTCACTTTCTTTCTTTCATTTCTCTCTTTTCTTCGGCTCCACTTTCTTTATCCTTTTATTCTTTTTCACCCCTTTGAGGACAACTAAGAACGAGGCTTTACTTCCCTGATAAGTACAATGGCATCCTTTGGGAACTCGATTCTATCTACCCATTCTGGTCACCATCGTATCTTCATCGGCCCCATCGTCCTGAAGCATCATAACCACAGCAACAGCAACGAACCCACCTCTCACCAGGGACAAGCGAAATCTTTCCATTCACATCATGCCAACGCTCGTCACTCTACACAAGCAGCTGTACCAAAGCCATGGTGGGTTCAAGGGTCATCCTTTCTCAAATCTCATACTTTGCCTCACCAGACTTCAACGCCAACTACTGCACCAGTTCCCGGCACGACACCTACCTCTCCAGCACCCTCAGCAATACCAAATGCTCCCCTGCAGCAGACCAGTATACCCCAGCTATCCTATACCTTTAGCGACCACAGCTCCGACGAGAGCCACGAAACTGATGATGAGGATCCAAATGCTTTCGACAGCGAAGACGAGAGGCGAGACTACGAGCAGGATAATGACGAGGATGGCGAGGATGAACGTGGGGAGCGCGAGGGCCATAGAAAGCTAGAATATGGTCCGGATCGAAACAAATCCGTGCATCCATTTCAAATATCGACATCCACAGCTTCTGCATCATCCAACGAATCACTCTCCGCCCGTGTTGGACACAGCCTCCAGGGCTACCATGGAACTTCTGAACACAGTGATCCCACTCAAGGACGGCATGAACTGCCACATACTGGAGATAGCGCTGGCGGATGGAGGACCAAGGGCCCGGAGGTAAAAGGCAAAGAGAGGGCGGCTGAGGACAACAATGAGCCGATAATGGCGACTGCTACCCGGTGGTCTTCCAAGGAGAAAAAGCGCACGAAGAGCATGCGAGATGAAGGGGAACCCAACCGGCTTAAAAAGTTTTTTGGACACCATCGGAAAGCACGACCCCATGAAGGCGATCTCGACAACCCGGACCTTGGATGGGAGAGCGAAGGATCGAGGTAAGGACGCCCTTTCCCTTTTCCCCCATAAAGAAATTAGCTTCGCGCTCTCCACACTTTGTTCAACATGAACAACGTGCACCCTCATCCCCCCTATTATCGTCGTTGTACAGTGCAGCTGACTCCATTGGCAACAAGACAGGTTGACTGATCGGTCTTTAATTGGTTTCTTTTAGAATGCCTCGACCACGACCTACCAGACAGATGAGCTCAGGGGCATTGATAGTCGGTCAACAGCATCTACATAAGAACCACCATCCAGTCCTTGTGGGATCACCATTATCATCTGTGATGGACCTTCCAGCAACCAACCACCCAGTCTATGTCAGCTCCCCTGTCTCTTCAATGGTGGATGTCAGCAAGCCTGAAAATTTGGAACGGCCCGATCCGATTCCTATTCAGAACCTGCCTCCAGAGGAGAGCGGCGTACAAAAGTCAGATCATTTGGGTCCAGCCTGGAAACCGTCATCATCATCAGTTAAAACACTTTCAACACCATCTTCGCCGATAAACAGCAATATACGGCGTGGGGCAACTTGGGTCACAGCCCGAGAATCTGTCTCCAGTGTCAACCGGGATTCACTCTACGGACAGGCATTAGAGGAAGAAAATGAGGAAGATGAGGACGATGCGGATGAACATTACTCGCTTGCAAAAGTAATCAGTCGTGAGAGCGACAGCGGTGCAGGAATTCGACCTAACGGCCAGGCCGAGGGAGCAATTCGAACGAGTCAGGAATCAAAGGAAAAGACGATGGAGGAATTGGCCGTCTCAGATACTGCCTCTCAAAAGGAGCCGCTTTCAACAACGATCAGCAAGGCGAGCACACGATTCGGTCGGGCGCTTTTAAACAGGTCTCCAACAGGAATGAAGCGACAGAGCGACATGCCAATCAGGACGAGTGTGCAGCCCGTCGAATCGATATGTTCGATTGACAAGGGTTGTCAACTACAAACGGACAGTCCTGTCAAGAAGAAGCATGTACGATTCCTGACCAAGGTGCAATACCAGATCAAATCTAGTCGAGAGCCTACCTTATTGTCGACACATCCGGTCGTGAAACAGGATCGAATGTTGGTCAGGAAGGAGGTGACAGAACGATCTGGACCCCATGTCTACAACTCGGATACTGCTCGTCGCCTGGAGCGCATGAGTCAAGGGTGGAAGGAATGGTGGTGTGTCATGAAGGGGCCACCTACTGATTCGAAACCACCTGTCAAGAGGATTCGAAGGAGATCCAAAGCCGACAAGAGAATCGAGAAGGGCCGTCTCGAGTTTTATTATAACCATGTAAGAGGCAACTTGAAAACTGGACATTGTTACCACAACCATCCACATGTAAACTGACGCAAGACGCTGTCGGTCTTATAGAAAAAAATCAATGGGACGGTCGTCCTGTCGTCTTGCACAAGCGTCTCAGTCTACTCCTCTTTGGACTATTCGATTGCTGTGACTCAGAACTATCCAGAGGCACTGGGATTGACTGTATACATTCTTCGCCCTCGCACCATTTCGCTTGCCTGTGCGTGGTATATGGATATTTACACGCTGTTGAACGGGAATGCGCCTATTCCACCCTTCATTGAGATCGCGGTGCCGGACTTTGATGTGAAGATCAGAGTCCCTATCCCCGAAGATTCAGATTCAGGAACCGACGATGATGACGACCTGGTCGAGAGTATCGAAGATGAGGATGAGGATGAAGGCATGGGTACGGCGCTAAGTTCGACATTACCATTTCAGGAACAACAGGACGCTGGTCAATCAAGCACCACAACCCCGCACGAGAATTATCGGACGGCAGCATCGGACCTCCCCACACGCATGCTGTCCAAGACGTTTTACCTCACAGACGACAATGCACGACCTCAACTGGTGGCGCCAGACGAAGTCACGCCCAAGTTGTTGCGATCCCATGTTTTGTCGTTGCTCAAAGATGTTCCGGACTGGACAGAGGTGGTCAAGATATGGCAGGATCCAGGACAGTATGGCGATGTGGCACTCTGTTGGAAGCGTTATGATCGAATCGAGTGGATTTATTGGAACGAAAGAGTGCTATCCGAGACGAATAATCTACACTTGCAGAAGGGTCATATTGGATTTGCGGATGGTTCAGAGTGGACTGGCAGAATGGATTGGACCGTTGTAGGACCACAGGTGCTGGATAAGGTATGAAAAAAAAAAAAAAAGGTTTAGCGTAGACTTTATGAAGTCGCGCTAATGAGCGATCGCTATATGGTTTTGGTTTAGCCATTTAACTGGGATTGTACTTCTTGGGTTGTTGATAGACACATCTGTTGGAACTGAGACCAATTACCCACTACCCATCCAAGGCAAAAATTGCAGGTGGTCAGGAACTGCATGAGCCAGATCCTATCGAAGGCTATCTCGTGCGTGTGAGCACGTTTGCAGGCAATCCGATACGTCGCTTCCGTCGACTTTACTTGACCTCGCACGACCACATGCTGATTTATACAGTTCCGTCGGAGTCGCACAGCCCCACGATGCAACATGCAGGATCGATCGACCCTTTGACCCTCGTTTTCTGTATCACCCCACATCGATCTGCTAATCCGGATCACAAGGATATGTCACAAAGCCGTTCTCTCCGCAGGCTGAAGGCGCAAGTGAAGGCAGCGCGTGGATTCATTGACATGACCAAGATTGAAGCTGTGAGAGTGTTGACTGTCCGGGAGTGGGAAACCATGCGACATGTGTCATATAAGAAGAGCATGAAAGGGAGTAAGAGGGAGAGGTTGGGCAAGGCCGTCATGCGCGCGACAGAGGCAGTAGAGGAAGCGGGGGATCGTGCCAGAACAGCCAGTGCCAGTCATCAGGTTGGCCAGCAAGAACAAGAGCCACAAGTCATCGAGAGGGAACCGGACAACTACTTTTTCCCGACGATTTTAGTTGAACCAGAGTCTCTCCAGCAGCAAACTGCTATACCCGGATCTAACAGTCAACAGCAGCAGCAACAGAGGCATGGTGCGGCTAATGGAAGCACACATGAGTTGCACGGTTCTGAACCCCTGAACAACAGTCTGCGTAAGAAGCTCGCAGTTAACGGACACACTGCAACGACCTCACTCAGGGAGGGATTCATCAAATCAGCAACGTTTGTTGCGGATGTGCTACTTCACAACGATACCGGCAACATGGACAACCACCTGGAGGATAGCAATGTGATCGAGGTTGAGATGAAGGGTGGGCCCTGTGTTCGCTTCCGTGCCTTTAGTCCCGAGGCTGCCCATCTCTGGTGTGACCAATTACAGAAGCTGGCCGAGTATTGGAAGCTGAGGAAGCACTTGGATATCAAGGAACACATGTATGTGTCGCAGGCGAACTGCCAGCTAGCGTCAAGTCTAGATACTGACGAGATCCAACTTGGAGAGACGATCCAAGACTGGGATAACGATAGGGCGATGGTGTCACCGGGTATATGGAACTGGTGTGTTGTGAATGGGTGCCGGAGCATTACAAAATCTGGAATGGTATATTATAAACCCAAGTTGCACAGCACCTTCCGAAGGATGTTCCTGGTCCTGACAGAGGGCTATCTAATGCTGTTCCACCCTCACCGGCGATCCAAGACGACAGGACAGTTGGTTCCGACAACGGTGTCGAAGTTGGCCTCGATCCATTCGCTAATGGATATCTATATCTACTCGGGCCACTTTTCGGACGAAGACACTGTGCATGGGACGAACGATGAATCTGAGCGGCTGCCGCGGTATTTCCCCGATGGACTAATCGTCGACGATCCGGACGAAGACTGCACGTTTTCTATCTGGCGAGGCAAGCGGAGGAGGATGTTGAGTCGACGTGGTCCGGCGCTGCTGACGATGTCAGCGCGAGCAGTGAGCGGATCATCGAAGGTCTTTGGCAAGGATGGTCTGCTTTCGAGCATTGTTAAGGACGGGGTGGTGTATGGAAGCGCGCCACGGAGTTGCGGGGTGTTCAGAGCTCGATCCAGGCCTGATTTAGAGGAATGGGTGTTTGCGATCAACAATGAGATAGAGCGGGTTGTGCGAGCAGAACGGCGCCGGATCCGGTTCGCAGGACGCAGCTGAGCGAGCTGCACGTCGAGACAGAACCTAACCGGGCAAGGACGCTGAAATTGATACTCTTATGAGGACAGGCTCAGTAATAAACGCACCCATTGGTTGAAAAGATATCATATGAATTTGGGTTCGGTGGAGTCAAACCGTAAGATAGTCCACTTTGTTGATTTTGCTCGAGAACTCAATTGGAGGGCTGAAGCCCAGTTGCATGGAAGAAAAGAGAGATCGAGATGAATGCGGCAAAGAAGAAAGAGGATTAGGATGGATGCAGCAAGTCGAGTGGAGAGGAGAGGAGGGGCGTCCTGTGAATCATGCATGAATCATACATCGTATGTATATCCGGAGAATTGATCCATGCTGACTATCCGTTGCCGGAGCTGCAATAGCCCTTGTTGTTGTGTACTCTCCTTATCTCTTCTCAGCCTGCTCCCTCGCTTTCACACCTCGTGGCCTGTTCTATTACTGCATTGCACAGATAGACAGACGGACAGACAGACAAACAGAGCAAGTCCAGATCGCCATTGCATTCCTCCTCTGCCTTTGATTCGAATCGAATGGATGATCAATCACTTGATCCTCCTTGATCGCCCTTGTTTCTTTTTCTTTCTCATTCTCTCTCTCTCCCCCACACTTTCTTTCACTCTCCACGCTATTACTCCGTGTCGGTCCTCCTCCGTCACAACACACACTCCTTGGTTTGCTGCTCTCGAACCTGTACCACATTCATCACATACTCTCCCGTCCACGTTGCCTCGTCTTCTCGAGAGAGAGTGCTTGTTCAATTGCACCTATTTCTTATTTCGCTCTCTCACTCATTCATTCACTTGCTCACTGGAAGCAAACATCTCGAAATCACTCCTTCCATTCAAACCGAGCCTTCATCCGCTCCACAGGTATATATACGCCTTCAAATCCACAGCATATATTTTTTTTTCTTTATCTCTTGTTCACCCTTACACCCCTGACCCTTACACCCCTGTCGAGTTTGTTGCCACTAAATAAACTAAAAACAGGGACAGATTACAACCGTTTGGGTGTTGAGGAATGGGCGATGCATTTTTGGGTGCTGATGCTGTTAAATGAGTGAATGAGGCTGTGTTCCTTTTTTTTTTTTTTTTCTTTGGACGTTAATCGTTGGGCGATGCGTTTCCTTAGTTTTTATTTTTTTGCGATTGAAACAGCCCCACAGCGAGCGCTTTGCTTCTTGAGCTCTGTCTTTCCTTGTCTTCATCCTCCTGCAACTCTACCCTTCGTCCTGCCTATTTTCTTCCTTCCGTTCCTGTACTAATCTCAATCTCAATTGGCGTATGTATACAAACATAGAAAAGGACGTTGAAAAGACACCAGATACAAGAGTGAGAGTACTTCAACAAAGGGCAGGAGGGCCAATTATATACATCGTATCGATCTGGTGTAAATCACGCGCCTCTTCAACAACTCCCGGTCTTTCTCACCATCTGCAGCAGGATTATTTCATTCATTTCATTTCTTAACAAGCAAACAACAATAGCTGCGGCATTAACAACACGTGGGAAGAAGATCCGTTTAAAGCGAGTCAGGGAGCGCCATCGCTTCAAAGCAGTTAACATCACTGCGACTCTCTCCCTCCATCCATCCGTTCTCAAAGACCTCAGGATATCGATAACAAGCCGTTGGAGCCTATCAATTCTGTCGTAAACCAGAGGGCTGGTTGAATCGGTCTGGCGATCAATATAAGCAGGGGATTCTAATTGGACCGACAGTTTTTGTCGCACACCCAGTACTCTTGCGCCACCATCTTGTTCACCATCCACATCGCCCGATGATGTCCGCAGAGGATGCCGCTATAGCCAGGTCACTCGCTGAGGGTTTGTTCCCAGTCTCATATGGCCAGTTCTCTCCTATGTCCTCGTCTTTGCCGTCGCAACCAGTCAGCTACTCCTTTGGAGTTGGAATGCAGCCAGAAGGACCAGTAGTAGGGTCTGTCGATGGTCATGGCATTATGGACAACCAGGCAGCAGAAATTGCGACACAGGGCAGTAATGAGTATGCCTCCTTATTCGACCAACAGCAACATACCGACCAACAGCAACATACCAACCATCATCAGAACAACAGTCATCAGATCATTAGGGGAGCATCTAAACGCGAAAGAGAGTGGTCGGCAGAGGAAATACAGGCACAGTATCTGGATGAGGTAGAGGAGTACCAGTGGACACAGACCATGGCAATCAGGACAATGCTGCAGCAACAACAGCAACAACAACAAATGCAGCTACAGTTTGAGCAGCAATTACAGCAGTTTGGTGCGCAGGCGCATCCTCAGCACTTTGATCCATCATTTCAAACTACTGCGGCAGTCGGGGCACATGGTGCGCTGCAGAGTCCCTATGCCCAACAGGGTCAGCAGCAGCCAGAGTTTAGGGATGAGGGATCTACAGGATTGAATGCGGCACAGTTTGTGGCGCCGATAAACCAGCATCACCCGCAGCAGCAGTCGCACCAACATCGGACGATCCATAGCTCACAGCAGCAGCAGACTTTTCAGGCGAGCAGGCAGATTTTGCAGATACCTCAACACCAGCCTATTTACCAGTCGTCGTCAATATTACCCGTTATCCCAACGCATCATCAACAACGACAACAACAGCAACAGCAACAGCAGCAGCAGCAACAGCAGTTGCAGGAGTCTACCCAGCATGGGACACTGTCCGCGCCAAGAGAAATTGCGGATCAAGGCGCGACAGCGATTGTGGTGGCTTCAGCAGCTGCAATAGCGAGTCCTCCTCACTCAGTATTCGACGCATCTTGGGAGCCACAGTTGCCGACGCGGCCATATCAGCAGCAACAGCAATCGCAGCCGCAACAGCAGATATCGTTACAGCAGCCACAACGACTACAGCAACAACAACAGCAGCAGCAGCAGCAGCAGCAGTTTCAAAAATTTGCTCAGTCGTCGTTTCTTCAAGGCGTTCGGAAAGCACCACACTACCAACAGCAACAACAGATAAGCGCCTCATTTCCGATGGCCATGAGTACTAGTACCAGCAATATGCGTGTCTTTTCTTCTTCATCGACGCCAAAGCCCACGCCGTCTATACCCAGCTTTCCATATTTTCCACCGGCCATTCAGGTAAATGGGCAGGATGTTTTTTGGGAAGCTCAGCAGGGTCATATGCTTCTGTCATTTTTTTATTTTTATTTTTTTTATTTTGTATTCACGGCAATATTAATTGATATCATTCATTTATCGATACATGATTCCGTGTTTTCGCAGGACGCTTCTACTTTGTGGTTTGCGGACTTTTCTTTTCTAATTTAACCTTGACTTCAGGGCGTTCTCTTTTGATTCGTTCATTTCTATGCAGAGAGAAGAACACAAGGAAATATGACGGTTATGCAATTGACCATTAAGCGCCGAATATTAACTCTTTGCACATTTCTGTCTTTTCAATTGAATTAGAAATACTCTCCAGAACTGAGCCCTGCTCCATCAGAAGAGCCTGCAGCAGCAGGACCTGTCTCATCCTCGTCGACTTCTTCTATCGCAGGTGCATCAACCGTCAGGTTGTCGTCTTCGAATGCCAGCACAGGAAAGAACGCTCTGTCACAGTTGTCAGGGATGGCAAAGACAGCGGGCACACCATTATTGGCGGGTCCGGACTCTCCTGAGAACAGCAAGGGCAACTACAGCAGTAATGGTTACGCTGGTCGAAAGATCTTCAGCATTGGCACCACCCAGCAGCAGCAGAGTCCAGAGCATGTACATGCCTCCAACAACGACAACAGAGATGTCGCCCAACCCGCAACAGTTGGACCCCACGCCGCTCAGCAAGAATCGTCATCTGCGTCTCCCTCAGCTCCGCCATCATTCTCGACTGTGGACGCGAAACTCTATAAAAAGGGAGATGTGGGAGGAAACTCGGCTGCTTCGACCCGCGCTGGCCGTCAATCGGCTATTCTTCGGGTTCCCTTCCCAGCCCGAGCACCCCCACCTCCACGCAGTGTCGCCCAACTTGAACAAGCGATGATGGATCTGAAATTGTATGACTCGTGTTTATTTTGGGGTAAATCTGGAGCTGTCAACCTTAAGCCTGAGGGCAACTCGTGGGATGATGATATGGTCATTCAGTCCAAGGATCCGGCATGGGTGCGCAATTCAGTCCAGCCTCCGATTCCGGCTGACCAGGAACTGTTGATTTTACCACCGATCGCCAAGATTGAACGATCAATTGAGGTGTTCTATGAGGTGAGGTTCAAGAATGCTTTTCCACCAGACTTTTTTTTTTTTTTTTTTCTTTTTTTGTTTGTCGCTGTTGCCTGTACCCTTTTGCGATGTAGAAATTCAATATTCCATTACGTGTACATGGATATTTTGTGCTCTCCTTTTTGCATCTCTCTCACACAACATGCAACCATTCATCTCCCGTTGATTTCTGTATCTTAGCACTCGCATTTGTATCCTCCGTTCATCACACCGCTGATCGTTGAGCGTGCCAAGCAGACGCGATCAAATCAGGTGTCGCGTATCCTACTGAACACGATCGCGGGCATTGCGATTCGTATAGACCCCGATATCGAAAACATGTTGACGATGACGATGAGCATAGGAGGCAGCGGGACTGGAACTGGAACTAGAGCCGGAACTTGGACCGTGCAGAAGGATAGCCATACTACCGCTGCAGCTGCGGCGGCGGCCGACAGCAATAAGACGCAGTATATGCGGTACTTTAATCGCGCGTATGGTATGTATCTGGGCCACGATGTTACATGTCGTTCATGGTTCACTTTGCGGGCCACAAAATGACAGGGATTAATGTATACCCCAACAATGTTGTACAAAACACTAGGACTGTTACAACACTTAGAGGATATCCGGAGCACGTACTCGACGACGTACCTTCAGGCTGCTCTGTTGCTCTGTTATGTTTATCCGAAGCCTCAGCTGCGCGTGGAGTTACTCAAGCTGATGACAGAGGCCGCATTCCTGGGGTTGCATGTGGACGCATCGCGGTGGATGCCCAGGCCAGTGGTCATCCGGAACCGGTGCTGGTTGTTCTGGGCCTGCTATATGTTTGATTCGGTACACCATGTAATTCGGGGCCAGCTGACCCAGATGGACGATCATTACCTGGATGCACCGCTCCCGCCGCTGACGGAGTTGGACCACGACGATGGACTCTGGACGAGTTGGTTTATGCTGAAGGAGATACATTTGTGGCGGATAGGACGAAAGATCCATGCGTTCTTCCAGGCGGGATTGAAGAGAATGGATCGATTGATTGAAGAGAGTGCGAGGAGCGGGAAGGAGACTGAACAGGAACAAAATCGGCAGCGAAAAGAAAGGACCAAGGTTCTAGGATCAGGTCGGGATGCGGCACCGGCGTTTTTCATGGACATGCAGGAGGTTCTGACAAGCGAGTGCTCAGAAGCGGAACTGGTCGTCTCGCTCCAGTTCTGGACAGATGGGTTACCGGCGGCGTTGACGGCGCAATTGGATCATGGTTTCTTTGAGAGGACGGATCCAAGGGTGAATGGACGGGCGGTCGGACTACAGCTTGTGTATGCAATATTGAGGGTGTTGCTGCTGTACCCGAGTATGTTGGCAATTGGGACGAACTTGCTGGCCAAGTCTGTTTCAACGTTTCCGGCCTTTGTGCCATCGTCAGCGTCTTCTGTATCATCATTGTCTCCAGCCTCGACTTTGTTGCCTTCGGGACCTTCTCCAGCGGCTGTTGAAGCCGGAGCAACGACAACGACAACGGCTCAACAATATCAACACCAACACCTTTTGAGACGACAGGAATTATTGGAAAAGATCATGAAGTGTGTTCAGGAGGCGGACCGTATTGTCGGACTGACTACTGTGGTGTTGGAGAAATACCCAGAGCGGGCTAGGATGTCATGCGTGGGCGTGGCGCTGGATTGGTGTCTGCGGATCTATTACAAAATTGTGACGGAAAAGCCCGTCACGAGGGTTGGCAATTCGCAGGCGTCGAGTAACTACAGCAACATTGGTAGCGGTGGAACGGTCGGCAACCAACAACAACAACAGCAACACGGACAGACGACGACGCCGGGAATAATGGAGGCCGAGATGGATCGATGGGTATTCTCGGCGAGACTTAAGGCGCGGTGTCGGGCACAGGTGACGAAAGTCGCAAAGCTGTTGAGGCAGTTTGAGGGACTGGATCATAAGCATTTCTTCTCGTGGCTAACGATCGAGCTGGAGTCGTTGGAGGAGCATCAGAGGACTGAACAGCAGAGGATGATCCAGAAGTGTTTGGAAGGTGTGGCGAATGATTTTGGGGCGACGGCGGCTTCGATGGCAACAGCAACTGCCTTGAGGGCGGGTGCGAGTGATGGACTTGATATGGCAATGCCGATAGCGATTTCGATGCCGGGAACGGTAAACTTAGCGGGCACTGGACAGGAGTACCTGTTTGCTCAACAGCAACAGCAACAGCAGCAGCAGCGGCCGCAGTCTCACTCCCAACAGCAGCTTTATCAGCATCAACAGCTACAGCAGCACCAACAGCAAGAGATGCATCCGAAATCACACGACCTCCAGACGATTATCCGCAAGCGCCAACAGATGGGGATCTACGCGAATTCTGGGATCCGACCGAACGGTGGACACGGCAACTATTTGGGCCTGACACCATCTCCTCCGAATCTATCGACTACATCTGCGTCGCCCATAAGCGTATCTGTTTCCAGCGCTGCTTCGGTGCCATTACCGTCATCGCCGTCATCGTCTTCGTCAGTGTCGGTGCCATCCCCTGAGACGACGAATGGCTCGGAGATGATGTTCTTGGATGGCGGTGGGCAGATGAAAGTATCAGCGGCGTACTCGACGACGATGGTTGAGTCGCATTCGTCTGCCGCGGCTGCAGGTATATCGCCGTTGTCGACTGTTTCGGGGAGTGGTACGTTTGGACATGGACAGCTTTCAGTGACACCACACCACCATCATCAACGCTACCAGGAGCAACAACAGCAAGCGGTGTACCATCTTGGGTACCACCATCAGCAGTCGACAAATGTTGGTGGGGAGGCACGGCATTATAATGCACACCAGCAGCAACAGCAACAGCAACAGCAGCGTCAGCAGCAGCCACCACAGCATATTCAGCAGCACTCCAATTCTGTATCTTTAGAGTCGTTTTTTTGATTAAAACTAGAGGGTGAAAAAAAAATACGTAATTTTCTATTATGTTACTTTTTTGTGGCGATCTGTTGTGCTCATAAACTGTATTACCTTTCTTCGCCCTCGCTAAGGTCACCACGAGCAAGGAATAGACTGACTGAGATAATAAAAAGAGGTCTTGTCAAAGGACGAACTGAGCGATTGATTATGTCGGGTACTCCAAGAAAGTATTGGATTGTGATGAAGAAACTTTTTGAAGACAGGAAGGCAAACAGGAGCTCAGGATGGTTTGCAGACAGAAAAATAGGATCCACTTTTATGGATACGCCGGCTGTCAGGAAAGACTAGCGAGAGGCGGTGTCCTTGGGCTCGATGTCCGGACAATGAAGGCTCTTCCTGCGACTGAGGAGAGCGGGAAGAATCATGTCTGCCGAGTGATGCGCCGTTGCAAGCAGCAATCCACCAGTTCCGCCTCGGCGGCTGGCGCATAGTCTGCGAATAGCTGGCTGAAAAGAGTCCTCGACACATCTATAGACGCTCCCGAAGGATTGATTGATATTGCCGATACCATTGTCCTTCACCGATCCGTCGGAGTAGAAAAGTATCGTACTCGCCCCAGCTGGTATCCGCCATTGCATCTCAAGGATCATCAGTCAAGTGTCCTGATCGATATTGAGCCATGAGAGGTCATGCAATTGCTCCCTTAGAGCCAAAAGATGCTAGTGCTGGTACAGTCTGAATTGGTGGTGGGCTGGCTGCAAGTCCATTTTCTTAGTCGCTGATTGTCTTATTATTGCTTGAAACTTCTGGCCCTCATCTATGCCACGGTACTTTCTCTCGTGTTTCCGCTGACGATATCTTTTTGCGTCGGACAGCAACGCTGTATGTGTGCATTACATCCTCGGCAGCACATCACACTTTTCTGTCCTTGACCTCAGTCGCTAGTTGTAGAGGTGAACAATATCAATACAGATCTAGATGTATCGCATATCGAATGTAACCATGGTAATGTTCAAGTCCATATAGACTACCGCCTCTGCGCTATGTCGCTTGACCCGGACAGGCGATGTGTTTGCCTAGATTCTGGATTTGACAGGAGACAAGCCCGAGAGGAGATTCGCTGGAAGGGGGGGAGGGATGGGGAGGGTAATCGTTGTAGTCCTAAGAGGAAAAAATGGTCAGAATGGTAGGATAAACTCAAAATGTCTCGCCTTAAATATGAAACCTCAACATCCAGTCGCCCCCAATTCTTTAATCGAGCGAGGAAGCATAGCTCGCTTGCGAGTGTTATCATGAGCGTATGTTTTCTGTCTATGGAGGCCATGTAGCTGCTGACAAGTACCTGGGACGTATGATAACGAGCGTAACGCGAGTGGGCAAAGGTGCGTCCCCAAGGTACGAAGGGCGCCAGCCTTATGATAACATCTCTTCTGACCAATAAACAGTATTTATTTCTACGCATTTCTACTTCACCACTGCCCCCTTGACTCTGCTACTATTGTAACATGCCTCTAAATTCAAGGACTCCATATTGAATGATTGAGCGAGATGAGTCCGGCAGGAAGAAGGGAAAGGGGGAGAGGTCAGTGGATACGCGCCAAGAGAGGGATGAGTCTTGCGACATCGAGCTTACCACGGCTGATAAGCCTGTGTCGTCGTCTTTCGATTTTCCTTGTTCATCGTGTTTGTTATGGTTTCCAGACCGGGGTGTTGGCAGATCCTAGAAAAGCGGGTGCCGTTCAGGGTTTGATCCCTGGTCGTCAGAACGGCCTCCTCAGATTGCTCAATCCATCACAATAGAGTGTATGGATGTTGTTGAGCGTCTTGCGTTGGAGAAGGGAGTGTTATACACCAAGATGGCCTACCGATGGCGACAACAGACCGGTCGTGCAGGGAAGAGCACGTACGGTGTGATCGCTGTAGAGGGGGTAGAGGTTGAGTGTAGTTTGAGATGGAATGAGTGATGGAGTGATGGAGTGATGGAGATGCAGAAGGGCGGCAGGTCTCTCCAACAGAAGAGCGATAGGGGCCACACGCGTGCTTGTAGGCGCGGTCCTGCATGTATACCCAATCAGGCGAAGATGCGATTTCTCCACTGTGTGCCAAGGCGGAAATGCGACTTTCCTCCTGGGACGGCGACATCGAGAGCTCGATCCCAGTATCTCGGTGAGGGAGCACCCTTTGTTTGCAGTGTTCATTTCCAAACTAGTAGAGGATCGGATTTTTTGTGTGTCGCACTGCTCAGCGGTATGCTGTTTACTGCCAAGAATGGTGTCTTGGCGTGGGGACTTTATTTCCCTCCACAACTTGGCATTGCACACAAAAGATATATAAAGAGGACCACCCACCACCACTACTTATTTACTTATTTCTCTACTCACCCTCACAGGACACTTCGAAAACGAAAGATGACTAGACACTGCAACAACACCACGTCGACATCACAGTACCCGCCTGTGTGCTGCGTTCACTTGTCTGAGGGCCAACCATTGCTCGGCTACCACTCACACACTCCGCAGCAAGAACACTGCATCAATATACACGATGAGAAGTCCGGCATACTCTCCACTCCATCGGAACCATACGCATGTAGGTTATCCCTCCATAATGCATGCATAATATCTCGTGATGTCGTACAGTATGCACATCCAACACCAAGCGTGGATTACCTTCGCATCTGACCTCTAGGCCCATCTTGGTTGTTCTCGTCTAGGCAAAACAACGCGCCGTCGCAAGTTCTGGGGTCGATTCTGCGGACTGGTGTTGCTCGGCTGGGTCTACTTTACATTCTTCCACTTCAACAAGGACCACCGCAACTACGACCACTATCTTCACAACAACGTCGATAATATCGATAGCATCGACAGCATCGATACAACGACCGGATCAGACATGAACAACGGAGGCGAACGGGAGTCCAGCTGCAGCAAACATATGATCGACTGGACAGCACCCTCACCCTTCTCGACCGATGCTCCAAACTTCCAGCTCAGGTTCGGAAAGGGCTCCTTTGGCTCGAAAGTCAAACTCCATCAAGGCCAGGTCTCCCAGCCCACGCTTCTGGTCAGCGGCAAGATCTCGCCTATGGACAACAAGGACGGCAGCATGAACAGCATGGATTCAGACACCAAAATCGTCGACCTCGGCCTTCACATCGAGATCAAAGAGTCCAAGGACTTGTTTGAGGCCTTTATCTGGTTTGAGGACCGCATTGTCCACGATGGCCATAACCGCTACCGCGCCTGTGCCTCTCTTGAGATCGACATCATCTTCCCCGACTCCCTTAAGCGCTACAAGAGCGTCGTTATCGATGGAGCAGTTACTTCCATTTTGACATACGACCTCAACATCGCTTTTGACAAGTTGGATTTCTCGTCCCAGGTTGGAGACCTGGTCTCGAAGGGTTACCTCGCTGCAGATGAGCTCAAGCTTGCTTATTCGACGGGTAAGATCGAGATCGAGTCCGTCCAGGTTGCCAGCGAGGACAAACCCCTGAATGTTGATATCCACACCAACACCGGAAAGGCCACCGTCAACGTCGAAACGGCGGCTGTGAGCAAGGACGAGCAGAAGGAGCATAGGATCTTGGTCACCGCACAGACGGGCGCTGTCGTGGTTGATGTCCGTCCCAAGTCGACTGAGTTACCTGAGGGCAAGAAGGCTGGAGACTTGGATATCTACACCCGCACGAACACGGGGGCTGTCAGGAATACAATCTCTCTGGCTAATGAGGAGCAGGCGCTGAGGTTGAGCTCAAGGTCGTCGACTGGATCTGTGGGTGCCACTGTCTCGGATGCGTTCGTGGGACGATTCTACTTGCAGACTAGCGTGGGATCAACCAGGGTGAAGGCAGCGGAGGGTTCGGAGAGCAAGATTGAGTATGAGAAGCAGACGTCGCAGACAAAGACGGGGGTGAAGGGTGGGAAGGAAAGCGAGAACCATGGCTCGATTGAGCTGCACTCATCTGTCGGAGCTGTTACCCTGGAGTTTTTGTCGCAGTAAGAGAGTATGAAGGATGCGCAGGATGCGTTCCTAGAGCCTATCTATCTACAATAAATGCGAATATTGATGCCTGGATGTAATGATACAGTGATGCAGTGTACTAAAAGACTGTAGCCCATTCGAAAGGAGTGCTATTTAGTATTTTCAACCCAGCTCATTTGGCGCTTCTCCACCTGTTCACCCCTTTCCCCTCCCCATCAAAGGGCCAGGTTTTGGCGAAGGGGATTGCGGATTTGAGCCATCCGCGCCATATGGATTGTGGCTATCATTCAGACACGACACCTTCCCATGGCCTCCTCCCGAAGATGGCATTTCACAACGAAAAGCTGGCTATGAGCTCGCTTATTTCAATTAGCCTTGTCGTCGTTGTGGAACACGTAGCCCAAAGACTCCACTGCCCTTTCCTATCTTTCCTTTGGTGGAAATAATTGCAGGGTAAAAGAAGTGGGCAATAAATGTAGCTCCGCGCATCAAAAGCAGAGCATTGCCACCCTATGTTTGGAGTCTGATAAAAGGCGCCTGACCAGGATGTTGCAACAGCATACGATGAAATGTATAGATACACGCATGACCGGGGCCATTAGTCTGGTTTGGCCAGAGGATGGACTATGAACGATGCACGTTCTTTTTCATTGGCTGACTCTGAGGCGACCCAAGGCACGGCACGTTTATTGTTGTGCATGTTCCGCACGGATTCAAAATGACCGTTAACGCTCACGGACAGACAATGCAGCAGTGCATTTGGACTGAATGCTTCCGCTCAGGAACTGGCGTATGTGTATGGAATCGAAGCGTGTGCACTGAGGTGTGTCTCTGCGACATGCACAAAGGTCACAACCACAGCCTATGAGTAAAAAAAGGCGCCGCTTCTTTTTTATTTGTTTGCTGTCATTGATGGGCACGGACGCTTCCTCTGGCAATATGGCGATATTTCCATCCGCCTCTTATCGTTCATCGTGCTCAGTAAAACATTCTTTCACTAGTAGAGAAATGCAGTTGTTATCCTTCGGGCCAGGACCATATATGTGTTATCTTCTTTTATTGAAATAAAACGCGAAAATCCAGAAACTACCCGTAAGGAAAAATGAAATAAATTCTGCTCGTATACCATGAATGCCTACTATCTTCTCAAAGGAGAGCCAGGGCGTGCAGAAATGAACCAGGGTGGGAAAAGAGGGTGGGACATATATGGTCCTGGCCCTCGGATAATAAGCTTGAGTCTTCATGTTATTCGACTCTGCCAGCTATTATCAGATCGAGTATACACCATCGCACAAGTCGCTTGTATGCTCCTCACAGACATCGCGTCGTATATGCATCCAGTGCTGAACTGTCCGCCCTCATAGCCCCTTTTACAAGCAACCCACCCAGGGTCGGATTTGGGGGTAGCAAAGATCGTTCCTTCTGTCTGGAGCTGCGCCTGCCTCAGCATCGAACGAAGAATTTCATTTGGCGGTGTACAGCCCTAGGCCTACGTAGAGCGCTTTATTCATGCATGTGGGAAATAGAATGAATAGAGGCCGATGGCATGCGACTATGGGAGAGAAGAGACAGAGAGGACAGCGGACATGGGGATGTATAGGACGCATGCTGCAGTAGCACGGAATGTCAGAAGGACAGTGCACAGGATGTATAAACTCCGTCAGATTGGCGGACGCACATCGTTTACTCATTGTCCTAGAGCAATAATATATTTGCAGCGTGTTGGTAGGCCAGCAGGGGCGGCGTGCATCAATAGATGGGGTAAGTGATCCCTCCCGAGGGAGAAGAACATGAGAGCATAAGGGTCCCCGCATTGTCCGACTCTTCAGAAGCTGTGCACCTGAGAAAGAGAGCGGACATGTCTGTTTATCTGTATATTTGTTCATTGATATTGTTACCATTGACGGGAATACAATAACCCAGCCAGTTCCTCCATTCTCCTGCTCCTCTAAGATTATAAAGATAGGAAGTGTATAGACTATTCACAACACAGAGCAACAAACCAATACCAAATCATCTGCATCCGCATCGATATAGCACTATCTAATAAAGCAACTATGACTTGTATACACTGCACCCTCGTTTGTCCCCTTCCCGGTAATAGCGACGTGTTTGCTCTATGTGCCTATGCTATTTGCACGTGTGGAGGAATGCTCCACTACCGTTACTCGCAAGCGATGATCTATCTCGGCCCAACGTGCTTCTACGCTTTTCTTCCACCAACCATTCTTTCAGAATTTCCTTCCCAGCTGCTTCATTGGGTGCAACAGACAGCTTCAGATATATGATTGGAATAAAGCTATCGTCGCACCATGCTCCTGCTTTGCTCAAGTCTTTTGGTCTAGAGCCAACCAGTCTATCGAGTCAAGACAAAACTCGTTTAATTATCAGACAATCGAATTTATAGTCTAGCTGTAAGTCTGTATGTATGAGCAATAAACGACCATGTCTAGGATATCCACTATTGCTGCAGCTTCTCAAATCTCGCAGCTATAGCGCGACCGATGTCAGCCATTGGGCCAGGCTTGTCCATCTCCATATGGGCGCATTCCACCTTGTGAATCACAATGTCGCCCTGAACATAAGGCGTCCACTCTGCAGGGTCCACCACTGCGCCAGTATCATCGACATCGGCCGTCGCGCTAAAGAAGAGCACGTCGCCGCTGTAAGTCGAAGGCACGTATTCACGTCCGAGCTTGAAGTTGTTCAGTCCAACTGCCTCTACCATGTCCCAAAGCTCCTTTCCTTCCTCCATCGTGTCCTTGTGCATGAACCGAGCAAGGTGCTCAAAGTACTGCTCTCCATCGTTATCATTGACAACCAC